CAACATATGGTCTATCCTTGAGAATGTTCCATGTGCACTTAAGAAGAATGTGTATTCTGCTGTTTTTGGATGAAGTGTTCTATATATGTCTATTAAGTCCAATTGTTTTAGCTTTTCATTTAGCTCCACTATTTCCTTGTTGATTTTCTGTCTGGATGATCTGTCCATTGATGTGAGTGGGGTGTTGAGGTCCCCAACTATTATTGTGTTGTTTTTACCTTTTCCTTTAAATCTGTTAATAGTTGCTTTATGAACTTTGGTGCTCCTGTGTTGGGTGCATAGATATTTATAAGCATTATTTCTTCTTAATGAAATGTCCCTTTGATCATTATATATTGTCCCTCTGTGTCTCTCTTTACCTGCCTTATTTTGAAATCCGTTTTGTCTGATTTAAGTATTGTGACACCTGCTGTCTTTTGTTTGCTATTAGCTTGAAGTATTGTCTTCCTGTCCTTGGGGCTGAGGCGTGTTTCCTGGAGGCAACAAATTGTTGGATCTTGTTCTTTAATCCATTTTGCCACTCTGTGTCTTTTTATTGGAGAGTTCAGTCCATTTACATTGAGGGTGAGTATTGACGCATGAGGGCTTAATGCTGTCATTCTGTTGCTCGTTTTCCGGTTTTCCTGTGTTTTCTTTGTTTCTCGTCCTGTGTGTTTTAGCCTACCCATTGACTTTTGCAATTTCTTATGCTGGGTTTCTTAAATTTTTCCTTATTTATGTTTTGTGTCTCTGTTCTGTTTTTTAGTTTAGTGGCTACCCTGAAGTTTGTATTTAGAATCTCGTGTATAATATAGTCCATTTTCTGGTAGTCTCTTACTTCCTTGGCCTAGACTGATTTAGTCCCTTTCCTCTTCCCCTTCTAAATTATTATATTCATCTCTTATTCCAACTCGTATTATGAGTTTGTGGTTAGAGTGATAAGATCATCTTTGCTTTGGTGGTTTCCTTCCCTTTATCCTAATGCCATAGTTGAATATTTGCTATCCTATTCTGGTTCTATCTATGTGTCTCCCTACTCTGTGGTTTGTGACCACTTTCTCCCTTTTTTTCTTTTTTCAGGCATGAGAGCCTTCTTGAGGATTTCTTGTAGTGGAGGGCTTTTGGTTACAAATTCCCTTAACTTTTGTTTGTCTGGAAAAGATTTAATTTCTCCCTCATATCTGAAGGATATTTTTGCTGGATAGAGTATTCTTGGCTGAAGACTTTTATCTTTTAAAGTTTTGAAAATGTCATTCCATTCTCTCCTAGCTTGTAAGGTTTCTGTAGAGAAATCCGCTGAAAGTCTGATGAGGGTTCCTTTGTAGGTTAATTTCTTCCGTCTTGCTGCCCTGAGTATTCTTTCTTTGTCATTCATTTTTGCCATTTTTACTACTATATGCCTTGCAGTAGGTCTTTTTACATTGACAAATCTAGGAGATCTGAAAGCTTCCTCCACACACATTTCTCCCTCAATCCCTAGAATTGGGAAGTTCTCTTCTATAATTTCGTTAAGCACACTTTCTGCTCCATTTTCCTTTTCCACGCCCTCCGGGATTCTGATAATTCTTAAATTGGATTTCCTCAATGAATCAGCTATTTCTCGGAGATTATTTTCATTTTTTTAAATTCTTAGTTCTCTTTCTTCCTCTGTCTGGAGCCATTCAGCCTGTCTATCTTCGATTATGCTAATTTGCTCCTCTATGGTGTCTACATGTGCATTCAGGGAGTCCGTATTCTGTTTTATCTGATCCATTGTATTTTTCATCTCCAGTATTTCTGATTGATTCTTCTTTATAGTTTCAATCTCTTTTGTGAAGTTACTCCAGAACTCATTGACTTGTTTCTCTACATTTCCCTTTACCTCAGTGAGTTTTTTGATGATAGCTACTCTGAACTCATTTTCACTTAGTTTACCTATTTCCAAGTCCTCAGGACTTAATTCTGTGTTTTTATGGTTTTCCTTCTGGTCTGGAGCTTTTATAAATTGCTGGATGGTAGAGGAGTGGTTTTTGCGCATGATGCTGTTATTCGGTTGCAGTTACAGCCTGTCGCCACAAGATGCGGGTCGAGAGGCATGCATTCTGAGCCCTCTGCCCTCAGCCGCCATGGTGGCCCGCAAGGCGGGTTGAGGGAGGAGGGGCACTTTCTCTCACACGCCGACCTGGAGTCTGTTCAACACTTGCTCTCTGGTCTCCCGGGGTGCTGGCTTGATGGGGTCCCCACACAGAAGCTTTCCCCCGTTAGCGGGTTTCTGCTGCACTGGCGGTGGGAGTCCTGGACAATCCCCAGACGCTTGGCCCCTCCCCCGCTCCTTCCCTCACCTGCACCTCCCGTCTCTAGGGGAGAGAGCGAAGTTCTCTCTTACCCCATTCCAGCTCCTCCAAGGGGGGGCTCCAGCCTCTCCGCCCTCTGTCGTTTTGCTGCCGTGGGTCTCTGACGATCTCTGTATTATTAGAGTTATTGGTTGAAATTCAGTTCTTCTGGGTTTTGGTTGTAGTTTGGAGGGGAGAGAGTCCCGGGTCAGCTCACACCACCATTTTGCTGACGTCACTCCTTTACTAATTTCTCTTAATGTTTCACAGTTTTCATCATTCAGGTTGCATATATTTTATTAAATTTATCCCTAAGTATTTCATGGTTTCGACATTATTACAAAAGGTACTGTTTTGTAAAGGTCAATCTCCAATTGTTTGTTGCTACTATATGATAACACAATTAATTCTGCACATCAACTTTGCAACCTACAATCTTGCTAAGCTTTGTAGATTCCTTAGGATTTCCTACATACAAGATCATATATTCTGCAAATGAAGATTATTTGATATTGTCCCACATTACCTGTTGCTCTGGTTTTGGTTTTTGTCTGTGCCTCATTCTGAACAGTTGCTATTGTCATACCATCAAGATTGCTGGTCTTGGGCTGGCCCACTGGTGCGCACGTTCCACTTCGGCGGCCCAGAGTTCACCAGTTTGGATCCCAGGTGTGGACATGGCACCACTTGGCAAGCCATGCTGTGGCAGGCATCCCACATATAAAGTAGAGGAGGATGGACACCGATGTTAGCTCAGGGCCAGTCTTCCTCAGCAAAAAGAGGATTGGCAGCAGATGTTAGCTCAGGGCTAATCTTCCTCAAAAAAAAAAAAAAGATTGCTCGTCTTTTCTTCTGAAGTGTGACTTCAGATATTGCATTTTTCATCTCCAGAAATTCTATGTGGGCTTCCCTTTCTCTCTTTTCAAAAACTATCTTCTACTTCCCTCTCACATCCATGTTTCCCTTTACCTTCTTGGACATCTGTGGCATTTCTAACAGCTGTATAACACCCCTGTCTGGCAATTCCATCATCTTGGTCACTTCTGGGTCTGTTTCTATCGACTCTTTTTTTTTAGTTATGAGTTATATTTTCCCACCTTTTACATGCCTTGTATTTACTGATTGGACACTGGACACTAGACACGAGTCTTCCTTTGTGGTACACTGGATTCTGCCGCCTCCTCTGAACAATGCTGGACTTTGTCCCCCTGCTCAGGGAAGCTACTTGAGATGAGTTGGATGCTTTCAAGGTTTCCATTTGAGGGTCCGTTAGGCAGTCCAGCGCAAACTGCAGTCTCTAGGGGCTAACTTGGCCCCACTACTAAGAGGACACACTTGTGAGGCCTCTTCTCAATGCCTCGTGCTTTACAAGGCCTTTCGACTCCAGCTGCTGTGGGAACATGAACTATTCCCAGGCCTGTCATTTCCAAGAACTTTTCTGGGGTTTTTTTTCTTTTTTTTTTTTTCAGGAAGATTAGCCCTGAGCTAACTACTGCCAATCCTCCTCTTTTTGCTGAGGAAGACTGGCCATGAGCTAACATCCATGCCCATCTTCCTCTACTTTATATGTGGGATGCCTACACTACAGCATGGCTTTTGCCAAGCCGTGCCATGTCCACACCCGGGATCCAAATTGGCGAACCCCAGGCCGCCAAGAAGCCAAATGTGAGAACTTAACCGCTACACCACCAGGCCGGCCCCCTGCCTGCTCCTTCTGGTTCTTATTTCTCAGTCTCAGGTAGTTTCTTCACACACATGTCAAGTCAGCACTCAGTCAAGGACGTGAGGGGACCCTCCTGGAGATCTCAGAGCTCTGGCCTCTGTCTTTATGTCACTGCCTCTTCTCTGTGGCCTCCCAAAACTCTGCTCTCGATCTTCTCTAGGCAGGGAGACCTCCAGCTTCAGTCTGGGTTCCACCTCCTTGCACTGTGGCCTGGAAACTCCTTCAGGCAGCAAGCTTGCACAGTCAAGGCTCACAGCGTTTGAGTTCCTTCCCTTTGGGGTCAGAGTCCACCACTGCCTGTTGTTCAATGTCTGAAAGCCATTTTTTTTATATTTTTTTCTGGATTCATTCCCAACTGTTTTATGTGGGAGGGTAAACCTGATTACTGTTGCTCCACCTTGGCCAGAAGGTGATTCCTTCTTTGTTTAAAAAAAAGAAAAGCTCCCAGGTGATTCCTACATGTGCTCTGGTTTGAAATCCAGTGAGGTAATAGCTTTTACTTCTGTAACAAAAACGTCCTTCGAGGCAGCACACATTCTTTCTGAGCTGATAGGGCCTGATGAGATTTGGAGGGCTGCATCCCGAAAGTGCCGTCACAGTTAGCTCAGATATTAAGAGGAACTTTTCACTAAAAGAAAGGCCCAATACTACTTTGCAAAGAAACTGAGAAACCATTATTCTTTGGAAGAAAGTTATGTGGAGATACTTAAACTGAAATATCTGATATGAGATGCCACAAAAGATGCTTTAAAGCATGCAGGTAGGAATAACTAATAATCTGGAAAAATCCTCCTCTTTTTGGGGCATTCCAGAAAAACCCTATCTTTTAAATTTTTGTCTTAGAGAAACATTCATTAAAACATACAGGTTATACAACGAAAACTTTACTAGTTAGTAAAAAATAAATGAGACTCTCTTTAGTACCAGTAAATTTCATTCTATGCAGAGGTTTCTTCCCACCCCTCCAGATCTCTCTCTGAACTTACCCTTTTCCAAGTAAGACCGTGGAGCCCACGGCGGGTCCTCTTCGGCGTAAGGATCGCTATACTCCACCACGGCTGCTTCCTCCTCTTCGTAATCTTCTGGGGGGGGAGGGGGTGGGGGGGACTCATCAAAGACTGGTTCTTCCACAGGTGGTGGTGGAGGTGGCGTATCTGAAACTAAGAATGTATCAAGCTGATAACAAAACTACACATTATGCAAAGGTCAATACTTCCTATCTGAGCTTCCATGTTCATGGACTATGAACCTAGACTTGAAAATAATAATCTTTCAAAAAACAAGTGGGCAAGAGCAGTCTCCTCACCAGCTATACTGATGCTGATCTCCAAGCATGACTTTCTCCTCCCCTTGGGTTAGTGCTGATGGATGCTGAAAGGGGTCTAGCCAAAATAATAATTATCAACTGAGCCTCGGAACCCGTTTATGCTAACACATGATCCTTTTTTTCAAAGAGATCAGTACAATGTAGCTTTACATTATATCCAAGGAGGAGTGCTTATCAGAAATATTAATAATTTGGAATTTATAACCATATTTAATAGTGAATAGTTAAATTTTAGTAATCAGCTACATTCCTCAATGATTTTTTTTTTTTAAATACCATTTTACCAAATTAGCAGGGTGAGATGGGTGAGATGTTTGTGTGTGTTTTTTTAATATATACAGAATTTCAACTAATTCAGACTAATCTATGATCCAGAATTTCTTCAGGCTAAATATCCAAGGTGATTTAAAATATTTAAAATGTCTCCTTATAGAGATCTGCTTCCATAGCTCAGTGACGAGCATATAGTAATAACTAAAACATTATCTCCAAACTCAAGGGAACTCAAGGCCTTCAAAATGCTTGGTACATACTTGAGCACAGCTCAACAGAGCCCAATTTTAATGAGTAGCATTAATTCTTATATTTCCGTGAAATTCTCTGAGCAATCCTGTTTATCTTCTATTTAGTATCTAAGCCTACTGATTGAATCAAGTGGATTTTAGAAGATTCTGGCGCCTGGTGAGGACCAGCCGTATCTCCATCATACTCTCTGCTCTCCCAGGATTCTTCTCCTCTGCTGTGCCACTGTGTACTTACCAACTCAGCTACTACATGAACTTCAAAACTTTACTCATTCAAAATAATTTTTAGTCCTAATGGGTTTTTTAAATATACAAAAGATACAGATATGTGATTCCAGCATATACTTTATGACAAATTACATATGGTTGGGGTAAGAATCCACAATGCATCCTGTTTCCATTTATAAGGTAAAGAGACTGACTTTAAAGAATCGCACAAAAGCAAACTGTCTTCCAAAACAATCACCTTGAGAAATTACACTTCAAAATTACTCAAAGATGTTGCCAACGTTCATTTTTACCTTTTCTTATAACTGCCTCAGAGTCAATTTAATAAGACTAACATAAACTACCATTTTTTCTAACTTTTTTTCTATTGAGGTCATACTGGCTTTTAACACTGTGTAAATTTCAGGTGTACGTTAGTATATTTCCATTTCTGTACAGACTGCGTCATGTTCACCACCAAGTCTAGTTTTTGTCTGTCACCACACACATGTGCCCCTTAGCCCTTTCACGCCCCCCCACCCCCTTCCCTTCTGGTAACCACTAATCTGTTCTCCTCACCCATGTGTTTATCTTCCACATACAAGCGAAATCATATGCTGTTTGTCGTTCTCTGTCTGACTTATTTTGATAAGCTACCATTTTTTACTTAAAATGTTCCAGTTACTCAGCTGGCACTTCTACAATACGTTACTTCGTTTCATCTTTATCTTGGGGGGGTGGTGTTTTTAATCCTCACTTTATGGATGTGGAAACTGGCTTTCCAAGATTAAGTAGTCCTACAGTAAGGAAGTGGAAGAGCAGGAATTTGAACTCCAATGCCTATTATCTTAAAGCTACCCTACTATGGGATGAGATCAATTCAATAACTTTAAAGTCAAGTTTCATTATTATTCATTCGACAAACATCAACTGAAAGCCTATGATGGCTAGCTACTATGCTCAGTGCTGGGAACAGAGCAGTGGGCACAAGTCATGGAGACATGCACAACCAAACTTTCATTTATAATTAAGTGCAGTAAGTGCTTTAAGCCATTATGGAGAACAGAGCAGCAGAGAAAACCTCTTACGTGGGTCAGGAAAGGCCTCCTGAAATCTGAAGGATGAGGAAGAGTTAACGGCCAGGGATGGGATAGGGCAGGGGTGATATATCATAACAGCTGTAAAGAAAAAAATAAATACAAAGGTAGGGAAGCAGGACGCCTTCAAAGAACTGAGCAGAGTCCAGCAGAAAGAGGCATGAGGAAGCTGGAGAGGACTCAGCAGGGAGGCCCTGTGACACCCAGACTCTCTCCAGAGGGGTCGAAGAAGAAGAGCAGGGTCACGGCCACACTAGGGAGCCCAGTGCAGCAGGATCCAGCTCATTCCAGACTTCTCCAAACATAAAACATAACGCAGAGCACAGATCTGCAACCACAGCGTATGTGTCTTCAAAATCATGTACGCAAGAGCTAGGAAGATAATTCCATAAGATAAGTATACGTCTTTCCAAGGTGGATGTTTCAGAGGACAACATTCATCTGAATGTGTAAGTCCTGCTGTGTCTGTAAAATCAGCCATAGCTCACCTCATATAGAAAGTTTCTTATTTTTATGCATTTTGTAGGTGAGAAGTATAAATGACTATGGGAAGAAATGAGAAAAGAACACCTCAAAAGGCAACCACACTGTGGTAAACACAAGAGGTGCTCATGGGGTACCTTCCAATAAACAGAAGTAAAATCAACTATTTTCAGAAATTAGCAAGTCAAGATGCAAAGGCATCTGGAAGAGACACTGAGCCGTCAGGCCAGAAAGACTGGAGTATAACCAGTAAAATACAAGACAGAAATGCGTCAATAAAGAGGGGGCATTCCGTCAGCTATGGAAGCAAAAATAAGGAGGAACTAAAGCGTCCGCTACATGCCAGAGGCTTTCTGAGTGCTGAGGAAACAGCCCGAGAGCAACACATGCAAAAGGCCCTGCTCTCACAGAGCTCACATTGTAGTGCCGGCAATGCCACCTCCAAAGGGGCAGGCATCCTAAGAACAGACTGCAAACACTTCTGTCCCAGTGGCCCTGCTATGAGATGCATACACTGGGTACTACAGCCTGATGACATCAAATCTGTCACTAAGGTGATGCCTGAGTTCAGATTCCATGCCCATCATGCAACCTTATAATTGTGATGTGGGTCCTCATGTAGACTGCTGACAAGAAGCGAATTCATCTACCATAAAGACAATGTTCACTGGCCTCTGGAACAGCAATTCCTCACTGAAGGTTGATCAGGCCTCCTGCTTTGAGGACATCAGTCTCCTGAGCTTCCTTATTAATGCTTCCCTAGGAGAAGACTCAATGTGTCAAAAAAAATCAGTTATCTGATCCTACATAGCTCAACCCCAGACCACAGGCCAATATAAATTCATTGCCAATCTATGAGGTCTCCTGGGAGACAGACTAGCAATTTGGTGCCCTGGGACCTACCATGGCATGTCCATTTTCCCACCTGGAATCACAGGACTGGAGAAAGATTGTCAGGTCAGCAACAAAACCCTAAAACTCCAGTGATAAGAAACTAAACTACTGCTTGTCTAAGCAACCCAGTGAAAAAGATGGCCCATCTGGTGATTAGAGCATCCCCTCAGTTAGATGTGATCTTCCTTCTTATGTGTGGCTTATTTTGTATCTGTCTTATCTTCACTGCCAGATTTTAAGTTGTCTGAAAGTAGAGAACTTCATCTTGATTATTTTATCATCCACACTAGCTGCTCGTGCAGTGACTTGTTCATAATATTCAAATTTCTGAAGTATTAGTGAATGAATTACTATTCAGCCAATCATATATAATGACATTTTATGCCTATAATCTGATCTACAGCATAAAGAAGACATAAACTTACTATTTTCTTGGACTCTGGCCACAAATCCCATTAAAGGTAACTGAGGAGTTACCTGTAGGATGGAGGGAGGAGGAGGAGCAAGAGATACTGCAAAAACAAAAAAGGTGTGGAGGATAAGGGGTAAGGGCGAGTTACATTAAAAGGAAGGGATATACAATAAAACGAACATATAAGGAGGGAAACCACTGTGCACAAACATTTTATAAGCTATCTTAAGGATCCTCTTTTGAAGGATAATGCATTAACACACAAAGCAAAGTATCAGGGGAGTTTTAAGGAAGTTTTAAAAAATTACAACAGGAAGCATTTATCACATACACAAATCTAACACATAATGGCAAATTGACCTTTTCATTTCAATAACAATATGTCTTCTCAAATAAAGAATTTCTTCAGATTACCAGGAATAATTTGGTTTTCTGGACTTTACCTTGAAGGTTACAAGTTTAAGTGTTCGGCAATACAAGAGAAAAAACCATTACATCCCAACATCCTAAATTTATACTTTTCATTACTTCATTAACAGGCAAATTAATTGGTGCTTCATTCATTAACTAAACAAACATTTACTGACTTCCTACTAAGTGGCAAGCACTCTGCTAGGAGACCAATATCAGAACCCTCTCAGAGTCTGGGCTGTGTCATTACAATTTTTCATAATCCCAACTCATCCCACCTGCTCCAGCCAGGCACCTTTTCTCCCTGAGCCTACAGAACAACGTGAGCCTCATTCAGACGCTCCTCCTCTCCTCCCAAGGCATAGTTCCCTCCGCCTCAAACACCTGGTGCACTGCCTAGCACTGGGAAACCTTCAACAGATGTTTAACGTATGTAAACACATCAACAAGCCAGGTCCGTGCTGAACAACTGCCCAGGATTAACATCAGTTACAGTGCCCTTCAGAAGGAGTGTCAAGTTTGGTATGCATTTCTCATGAGGAAAGATCACCTTTACTAGCTCCAAATGACAGTTAGGACTAGTAAAACTAAAAAGAGTCACTGCCCTCAAAGAGATCACATTCTAGTTGGGAAGAAAAGACAAAATAATAACCTTAACCCAACAATACTTGCAGCAATTCCCTGGAGGAGGCAGTGGTGGTGTCGTGTGATGGGGGTGGGGATGGTGCTGAGGGAGGCTACAAAGAAACGACTGCTGAGCAGCTACTTGAAGAAAATCAGCTCAACAAGCAGACAAGGGTTGAGAACGACAAGCTGAGAACCACGTGAGGGGCAATAGCTTCAAGGTGAAAACGGTATGACAGTCACAGGACAGGAACTGTTTCCACATGGCTCGCCTAAGATACGCCAGAGAGAAAGCGCAAGACCTGGGGAGGTGAGGGGGGTGTGGCCTAGGGAAGGGCCTACATGGCAGGTGAAAGAGACTGGACTTCAAAGTCACCCAGAGTCAAACGCCTGACTCACCGTCTCCTTGCCGTTGGAACAGCAAGTTAATTGACTTCTCTGCGCTTAATCCATAAATGTGTTATGAAAAAGAGATAATGTAACGCAACCTACCTTACAGAATGGTTGCAAAGTTAAAAACAAAAATAACGTATGGGGAAAGCCTAATCCAGAGCCTAGCACAAAAACAATCAAGGCAGTTGAAACAGACAGAAGAGGAGAGAACTCAGGAACAGTGTGGAAAGAGGGCCTGGTAACTACGGGTTCAGCGGGCAGAGGGGAGAGCAACAGCTGAAGATGATTCTTCAGTTTTTACCTTCCTAGCTGGGGAGGAGGAATGCCATTAACCACATCAACTCTAGCACGTAGTACAGGGAAAGAAACGGACTGGTGAGTAGGCCGGTCAGGGGGCGGTAATGAGCTGATAAATGAGATGTTACAAAGGTGACTTAAGCATAAACATGGGAGGCAACTGGAAAGTGTCGACTGAGTTTGTGAGAAAAATCGAGAGGAACAGGTCAGTCGTTGTCAGCGGAGAGAGAACAGCTAAGCTGTGGGTGAGTGCAGGGAGAACACGTGGAATGTGTGGACGAATTAAGCAGACCACCCTGAAGAACACTGAGGTTTAAGGCACAGAGTAGTACACAAATTGGTACCTTGTTTAAAAAGATACCTTTTGGGGAGGTTTTTCCCTGAAGTCATGCTTCTTGGTAGTAAATCCTTAAGTTGTGTGTCCATCTCCCACTCTCAGAGGCTCGGAACAATTGTTGATATGTTCAAAATACCCTGTTTTTCCAAACTTGGGGTAAGGAGGCACAATGAACAGAGAAGGTAGCAGAAACAAAGCAGCTAAAACTGAGCAACAGCAGCAGACAGCAACTGGCACTAGAAAAGCGGAGATCAAACTACGTTCCTATCAAAAAGATGAAACGCCCCTCTTCCATTAGCACCTTTCCTCACCGCCTCTGTAACAGAAAAGTAGGAGATTTCCTACTTCAGTCACTGTTTCTCACCCAAGTAAAAAATGACCTAGTCCTCAGCTGAAAAAGAATGATCAGGGGCTTAACTCAAAACAGCCTTTTTATAGGGAGGTTGACCTTATAATTATTTTTAAGATGAATATGTTTTATTTCTTCTCTAGTTCTGAAAGTGAAAATCTGAAACCAGAGTGGTTTTAAGAAGTCCACCCACAGCAGCCCAGGCAAAACCAATCCCAGATCCTCCTTAAACAGAATCACTTAATAACAAAACAAGTTAGATGTTTTTCAGACCAGTCTAGGGCATGTTTAAAAACTCAGTTCCAAATAGAGCTTATTTTGCCCAGGGCAAAAATTTTATGTGACGGTCCAAATTAATCCAGACACCACAGCATTTTCCTTCTGGACCATGTAAGATTTCACCTGGCCAGAACTCTTGTGAACCAGAACACCCTACTTTAGACTAGATTTAGCTTCTTTAGAGTTGAGCTGAAAATGAACTATTCTTGGAGAACTTCAGCAGGATTTTGATGCAAAGAATGGTTTGCAACATTCAGTTTTAGTCCTACACATCTTGTGACTAGAAAAGAGCAGGAAGCAGCTATAAACTTGTTTTCACTCCTTCAGCTGAGATGATTCCTCACAGAACAAGACTCGTTTGACCACCGAAAGGTCTCCAAACTTTGCTTCAGCGGTATCACGTTCACAATCCACAAACGGAAGTTCACGTGAAGAGACGGGCTCACCAAGTGACTGGCGTTTACAGAGATCCTAAGTAGAACGAACAGAACTACAGCTGACGTGCACACAGCAGCACGCAGACGCCTCAACAGGGAACGGCTCTGCAAGCAAACCCAGCTTAAGAGGATGCGTCCGTGCCGAGGAAACACGGAGCCTTCCCAGGCATGACCTTCCCGGTTATTTACAAAGTCCTTTGCAGTATAATCTTTGAAGCCTGGTGTTTTAAAATGTCCAAGTCAAAGAGTTTTAGGGGAAAAAAATAGGCTTTTATTTTTTTACATTTTTTTTAGAGCTTTATAAACAGAAAATCAGATAAATATTCTAAATATTACTTCTCAAGCCATTAGAGAATATCACCATTAGAGGCCATATATATGTGATAGCCCATTCAGATTTAGTGCTTATATTTTACATTCCAGGGAGGGAAATAATCTGAGCAAGTTACTTTAGGAGTGAAATATTTTCTAAACATAGAGAGCAACTTAGAACGAGGACTATTTAAAAGTGAACTTAACCATGCTCAGTTAAGGAGAGCTTTTGAGCTTTTTGATGGAAAAGAGTATGGTTACCAAATAATTATCAGTCCTGTAGTCTCAGAAGGGTTAAAAGAATTGGATTATTTGTTATTCCTTTTCAAGTAAAAAAATCACAATATGACGTTATGCCTAGAAAAAGTAGTAAATTAACACTACGGTTTCAGGGGCCAGCCCGGTGGCACAGCGGTTAAGTGCGCACGTTCCACTTCTCTTCGGCCCGGGATTCACTGGTTCAGATTCTGGGTGCGGACACGGCACCGCTTGTCAAGCCATGCTGTGGCAGGCGTCCCACATATAAAGTAGAGGAAGATGGGCACGATGTTAGCTCAGAGCCCGTCTTCCTCAGCAAAAAGAGGCAGATTGGCAGTAGTTAGCTCAGGGCTAATCTTCCTCAAAAAAAAAAAAAAAGAAAAGAAAAAAAAAGACTACAGTTTCAAAACATAACATGTTTAATAATCAGTGTAAAGGGTCTATTTGGTTTAAGTGGTCACTTGAGAATCTACTTAACACTTTTCCATTGTTTCCTTGCCTTTTTGTTCTCCCTAGAGTAAACGTCCTCTAAGAAACCCTCAAGATTGCCTGAAACAAGGATGTGAATGCAGCTTCTTGTTCCTGCTCTGTGTTACACTTTGCTAAAGCACGCCCCCTGCACTCTTCCGGAGATTCACAGCACTGCTTCTCTTCTGCAATATCACCAACCAAACACTGTTTTTTCACTGTTTCTTTTTAGCTGTTTTAAAAAACATTCAGGGCTTAAAGCCTGACATTTCCCCTGTATAAAACACCATACTTACTCAGAAATTCCTCTACTTCATATAACTATATACAGCCACATTTCTTGGAACAAACATTTCACTGTATGAATTAGAGGTTTTTTTTTAAGTCTTCGTTGCAAGAAAATATGAGCAATAAAATGTAGAGTATCTTCTACTAAAGGCCTTGGCACTTAAATACCACATTATTCCTCACTGCTATGGAATGAATGTTGATGTCCCCCAAAATTCCTATGCTGCCACTGTAAACCCCAATGTAATGGCATCAGGAGGCAGGCCTTAGGGAGATGAGCAGGCCATGAGGGTACAGCCTCACGAATGGAGTTAGTGTCCTTATGAAAAAGGCCCTAGAGAGCTCGCTCTCTTTTTCTGCCAGGTGAGGATACAAGACAGCAGTCTGCAACCCAGAAGGGCTCTTGCCAGAACTCGAGAATGTCGGCTCCCTGACCTCTGACGTCCAGCATCCAGAACTGTGAGACATCAATTTCTGTTGTTTTATAAGCTGCTCGGTCTGCGGTGCTCTATAACAGCAGCCTGAGCAAAGACACTTCCCAAGCTAGGCCTGTGTATGTAAACGTACATGTACAAACACACATATGCAGAGAGAGAGATTCCCTACCCTCGAGGTGCTTCGTACTTATATTTAAAGTCAGCACTGTTCACTTGTGATCAGCCCTATTTGTTTCAACGACCCTCCTTGCTGCTGACAAGAGGAATGATTAATTGGAATTCCTATTTCTTTGGCTGGATTAGATTAAGAAATAATAAGAACCATAAAGGTTTCAGTTGTGCCCTGATCAAAGTGTTCTTTTAAGTGACTTTTTCTGAAATAATCTCATTAGGAAACAATTCTTGTGCTCCTAGGACATGGCGCTAGACACCTGGTGTGCCATATTTTAATTGCTATGTTATAATGCCCTTTCAAACTCAAATACAGTAACAGTGCTGCTGGAGTTACACCTCACAGAGAATGCCACTGACTCCACATCTGCACGCATCCCAGCCTGTCAGCACACTTCTTCAAAAGCACATATCCATGTCAAGCCTCCAGCTGTAAAACGTCGGTGCATAAAACACACTTTTGCAATCATTTTGCTAAGTCAGAGAATCAGCTGCTTGAGAAAGCACAACAAATTTTCTCATTTTAAATATGAAAAAACAGGGACCACTGTAAGACCAGGAGGAGTAAAACAAGAAACATAATATTGTAAAGCAAACAAAATGAAGGCGTATCTAATAGCCATAGCACACTGGTTTGCAAAGTGTTAAGTCTTGCAAAAAGAGCTTTTCAAAGAACATGATATATTAAAAAAAATTTTGTTTAGAAAAAGCACTCTCATTAATCAACCAACAAAGTTAGTCACCCTCTTTAAAGTTACCCAATCCCCGGAGAAGAAAGGCAGAACTTAACAGAGAGGAGCACAGAGGAAAAACCAACAACTAAACTGCCTGGCATGCTACGTTCCAGGCTCGACAATCGTCATTGCTTCACTTCTGTGAGCGTGAAAAAGACTCTCATTAAATCACTACATAGAGTACGGTCTTCTTTCTACTTTAACAGATACTTTCAAGTATGTTAAAATCAGATTTACAAAGAAAGAAGTATTGAAATACGTATTTAAAACACATTTAAATGTGTGCTTAAACAGCCTTCAAACAAATTCCACCAACAAGGTTCCCATAAGACCCATATTTCGGTGTGCACGTACACAGCATGGAATACCCTTGTATGTGCTTTGTGCGCATCATGCACAGTTGGTCTCAAGCTGTAGCAGTGAACCATCTCTCAGCTCATATGGAACCCACCCATTTTGGGCTGAAACCATTCTTTTAAAACTCTCCGTACAGATAAGGAAGGGCGTAAGGACCATAAAATATAATTGCCTAGACCTCCAAGAGGGCAAGAGAGAGCTTATCTTCAGCAGAACTACGAAACAGGCCACATCTAACAAATTAAAATTTAAAAATCAAAATGCATTTAGGTACAAAATAGCACCTGTACAAATATGGGTTTGGGACACATGATTTAAAAGCAGATTGCATGAAAAGGACAGGCAGATTTGTGAAAATTAAGCTCAAAATGAGTTAAAAAGAAAGGGAAAGGCCAAATCACTAGGTGTGATCAAAATTTCAACTAAGGCAAGTGGTAACCCCACTACAGTGTGCACTGGTGAGACTATAAATACGGCATTTACTTGATAAAAGGGACCCAGAACAGTGACTCGGTTTGAGCCACGGAACAAGGGCTTCACTCGACATTCAACAAACAGGTCCTGAGTGCTATTCCAGGATCTAACTGGATACAAGACGGACCAGGTCTCAGGCTCAGGCACTCTACGTTACTCTGTGGGCACCATCCTCCCCGACAAAAGAGAAGACTTGGGAGGTTAAGAGGTTAAATCTGAAGGGAGGGAGGAGAGTACGAGAGACAGAACATCAGACAACCTAAGTTCAAACCCTAACGTGACCATCACCTCAGCCTCAGTTTCCTCACCTGTAAAATACAGATGAAAATGATCCCATGATTCTAAGACTCAAACGAGGTAATAAATATAAAAGCAACCTTTAAATTTGTTTTTTTGTGTAGAAGGAGGATTTGTGTAGAAGGAGGATAAAATTTGTTCTGCAAGACTCCAAAGGATATAACAAGGTTTCACCAAAAGGCAGTAGCTGCAGCACTGATTTCAGCTCCATAGAATTCAGGGTTTTTCAGAGATGGAAAGGACTGGCCCCTCATATCAGAGGTGATCACACACAGGTTTACCGGCCTCTTGGCAAAAACCCAGAAAAATACAGTAAGCTGACACAGCACATCCACATTAGTCAGTCTAATATTTGCTCTTAACCTCTCTGGGTAAGAAGTAAAAATGATGATTATGGATAGTAGTAAATAAGTGCCAGATTAATTTTTCCATATGCATGATGCACGTGAAAGATGAGTGTTCTATCTGGATATAACAGTTTTCCCATCACATGTTTGGTATGAGAACTAAATACGATAGATTAACTGCCCAGCACAAAGAGCTTCAAAAATGCGATTTCCCTTTTCCATTGCCACTTATAAACTCTGTTCATGCACACTCAATTTTCATTATTTGCTATTCATAGAGCAAAGATATCTAATTAAATAAGAAGAAAATACTGTTCACCACAATATTATTTTAAAAAAGCAAATAATCACTAGCACACAAAAAAAGATTCTGTTCAGAAAAATTAAGCTCTTAAGTTTGCATGGAAACTATGTACTGATTTTTTTTTTAAAAAAACATGAACGGGAAGATACAGTCTTAGCAACCTTGTATTCATTCTTCCATTAATTCGACAATAGTACTAACCACCTATTATGTACTAAAGATTTGTAATTAAAGGGTTTTTTTTCTCTGTAACTGAAGATTTTTAATTAGGGATGTTCTACGGAATGCAAAAGAAAATCTAACCTGGATTCTGGCTATAAAAAGGTCCTCCGTTCATCTGATTCTGAAGGCTTGTTTGTGACGTTATGGAAGGAGGGCGTCTATAGGGCAGTGAGCCCCCGATAGTGGGGGGGGTATGGCGAGAGGCAGGTCTATTCATGCTGTAGAACTGAACGGGATGACCTGGAAAAGGGACAGAACATAAACTTGTCATTGAAAGAAAATCATCTCAATGAAATACACTTTAGGTCCAATGCCTGAATCTCAGTAAGATTATTAGAAATAACAATGTTTAGCTAATTTAATTGCCATCTGACAAACAGAATGCAAGGTGACAGTTACTGCTCAGCTGACATCAGATCAAAGTGCAAAAGCAGAACAGCACATAAATAAAATTCTGAGTAGGTTTGGAAAAGCTATATCTACATAGATTACTAATATTATGATTTTAATAAATTAATAATCTGATAGGGTTTCAAATCATCACAATTAAAATTTATGGCTCACTTCCTCCCCAAAAAAACAGGCACTAAACATTGAAAACTAAACTCAACAAGATAAGAATAACATTTACAAAAGCAAAAGAAAAAATGTTTGATACACAGTCTTATTCCAAAATGATAATAATAGTAAATTTAAGGTAGTGAAGCAATTTGCTTAAAGGAAAACATAAAGTATTTTAGCAAAAGGTCACGTGACATAATTCCAAATCAAACACGTTTGTTCAATTGACAACATCCATCTCTAAAGCTAGATTATTGTGTCTTACAATTAGAGTTTAGGAAATTTAGAATTATGAAAAAAAGCTAAGATACAAAAAGTGAATCAAAATACATTCTATTTTTAATATGATCCCTGAAACGGAACATATTTATCAGCAATTTCACTATATATTGCTCACTGAGAGTATTTCAACAGCTAATGCCAACTGAAGACACTCATTCCTAATCCATCCAATTTCTTAATGCAATCCAGTTCCTAAATTTTATCCAGACGCCACCCCTACTTAAAATCATTCAGCCAAGGGCCTACTGTTATAGACCGACAGACCAACCAAGCACTGGAGGCACCCAGGAGAGACCACAGCAGGGAAGGGGGGGAGCAGAGAGGCCAAGGGGAAGGAGGTCGACGAAGGGAAAGGGCAAGGGAAGAAGGGAGGGAGGGGGAGAGGCAAAAAGAAAGAAAAAACCGACAACTTGTCCTCTTACCCATATTTTACAATGGTGTTACATGACTAAAATTGGTCTTCAGGAACTCCATAAATTTATCAAACATAGACTTCACACGGACTCATATAAAAGACATTATAAAAGCCCTCAAGGGCTGCTAGACCATGTAATCTTCTTATATCTGACAGTACCAAAGCCTAAAAAGTCAATTCTGTTGATGAAAAATCTTGAGTATTGAAGATTACACATAACCCACTGCCAAGTCTCTATAACCATGATAAAAATGTAAAAACATACAAACTAATAAAGGCACATCTTAACATTCAAATCATCAGATACACACACATTATTGGCATTTTAGTAACAAACTAGTACAAACTTAGGATTATCAAGTTAAAGACATCTGATAAGATCATGATGAATTTTATATAGTCAGATCCAGTCTAAAATTTCACCCAAGTCCTCAGTGATTCAAAGACACTACATAAAAGAGACTCTATTCATATCATTAATAAGGCATTTATTTTTGAGTTGAAAAACAAAACTACAGTTTTTAATTACCATAGACCTAACTATAAAACCTAAAACTAAAATCTTATAGAAGAAAACAGGACAAAATCTTTATGACCTTGTGTAAGGTAAAGAGTTTATAAATATGACATCAAAAGCACAATCCATAAAAGAAAAAAAAATGAACTGGACTTGATCAAAATGAAAAACTTCTGCTCTTTAAAAGATATCATTAAGAGAATGAAAAGATAAGCCACAAAATGGAAAAAAAAATCTGCAAATCATATAATTGATAAAAGATATATTCAGAATATAAAAGAACTCAATAAAAAAATAAACCTATTAAAAAAGTGTGTGGGAGATGCAAAACATTTGAACAGATATTTTACCAAAGAAACTAAACAAATGGCAAATAAGCAGGTGAAAAGATGTTCTGCATCACTAGTCATCAGGGAAATGCCAATCAAAATCACACGAGAAACCATTATAGACCTGAGAGAATGGCTACATTAAAAAGAACCATAATGACAATACCAAGTGCTGACAAGTATGCAGAGCAACTGAGGGCGCAAAACTGCACAGCCACTTTGGAAAACAATCCGGCAGTTTCTTAAAAAGTTAAACATTCATTTACCATACAACCCAGCAATCCTACTTCCTAGGTATTTACTCAAATGATAAAAATACCCGTGCTCAAAGTCTGTGAGTGTTATAGCAGTTTTATTCATAATCACCAAAAATTGTAAATAATCCAAATATCCCTCAACTGGGAGAGGGATAAACAAATTGTGGTACATCCATGTAACAGAACACTACTCAGTAATAAAAAGGAACAAAAGAACAAAACATGCAATGACATGGCTACATCTCAAATGCATTGTGCCACAAAGCCAGAGAGCACACGCTTCCACTCACATGAGACTCTTGTGACAGATCAAGAGGTTGCCAGCGGCTACGATGGAAGCACTGACTACAAAGGGGGCATGGAGGAAAGTCTGGGGGTGATGGCACTGTTGTACACCTTGATTGTAGTTGTGCTTACATCACTGCACATTTTTGTCATAACTCACAGAAATACACACTAAAAAGGGGGAATTTTACTGCACATAAATTACACCTTAACAAAAAGAAAAAAAGTACTTGGTGATTCAAAGAAACTGTATAAAAGGTTATATTGATATAAATTGTTAATAAGGCATTTACCTTGCTTTTTGTTAAAAAAAAAAAGCTACGATTATTCACTCACACGACAAATGTTTATTCAGTGCAGACTATGAACCAGCACCTGTTATTAAATTATAATTTAATTACTAAAATGTTGACTCTCAGGTGGGGGTGCTTTGTCCTTTCTGGGCCTACAAGAGATTCCAAGATGTATCCTTTACTCCACTGAGGCAGGAGCATGACAGGACTCCTGCATTTACTCACTCATCTGTTCTAACCGTCGGATGCAGATCAGAGAACAATTCGTGTTCACATTTACCCAGTGTAGAAAGCTTCTCTTAAAAAGAGGTATAATAGAAGCTATCCCATAGAACACTATCCAAAATCCACTTAAAAATGGACTTTTTAAATGTCTTTTAAAACACTGAAACATCTGGTTAAAGCAGCAAAGCTGAATATATATTCTATGAAGTACTTTATTGACAAGCTAAGGTGATGTGTGCCCAAATATACATTTTTATAATAGACAAAAACTTGTTTACTAACCAGCATCAATGTCAATTGTGCAAATACATTTTGTAGCAATTGAGCCTTTTTCTCCTTCCCCATCAAAACAGATTTTAGGTTGCCATTTTAAAACACTAAAACACCAGTCAACCTTAAGTAACAAGTAAACCTGAAATTCTTAAGTCCATTGTCTATGTGCTTCCAATGCTGCTATAATAGGTGACAGATTCTGTTATAAGAGACCTACAAACTGTTATATCAAATATTTTCTACAAAATATACCTCAGAATTATTGTCACAGACTTTTTGTTAATGACCTAACCTGTAACAAAAAATATTTCTAATGACAATTTCTGGAAACTGTATCAAAGACGGCTCCACAGTAAATTCAGAAATCTCTAGTAAATGAAATTCAAGCAATAAAAAAAAAGTATCTTTGTGCTACTCTATTAGAAAAATGTATGGGAAACTTTACCCTGATTTCCTCAAGAAATTCTACTCTTTGGTCATGTGCCATTTTCTAGTTAGTACATTATTCTTTAGGTGTTTTTTTAATGTAAAGCACAAATAAACAAAAATCCTAAAGCCAGAGTTTCAGGTTAGAGAAGAGTCAGATGACTGGATCTGCCTGCCAAGGAATAAGCAATACTCACCTGTCGGGGGAGCGGAGGAAACAACAGGGGGAGTTGGAGAAGTGAAGCCATCGGCCAGGGCCTGGGCACCCCCAGCGGCAGCCTCTGGGGCAGTGGAGGAAGGGGCAGTGGCAGGAGCAGGAGGGGCAGGGGCAGGTGCAGAAGTAGCAGGAAGGGGAGGAGCACCAGCAGAGCCAGCAGGGGCTGGGGGGGAGAGGAGGGAGAGGAGCATTACTGAGGCAGTCCCACCAGGCAGGATCAGAAAGGCACAGAGAACCTAATGTTAGACACACAGTGCTTCTCACTAACCAAAGAATAGAAGAGTGTTAAAAAAAAAGAAGAAGAAGAAAGCTTAGGTTAAAGGATTATTAGGTTTCCAGCAAATAATTCAAGATGCTCATGGTAATGTACAGATGTTTAAATTCATTAAAAGCATTCCTTTTTACTTGATAGCCACTAAGAAAACAACAGTATTCCATTTTGAATTACATAAATCAGAAAATAAAAATATATTCCAGACACATATATCTTATCAGGTATAAAATAATTTAGAGAAACACAAATCTCTCTTTTTCATGATTTTTAAAAAGGTATTATCTATTTGTTACTATGATAAGTAAATTAAATATTCTATCCTTATGTCTTTTGTGTCATGCTTTTAAAACTAAATTTTAACTTCATGTGTCTTAAACACATTTTTCTGTTTCTAAGGAAAAAGGGTAGCATTTCAGAGAGTATTAAGTTCCAACAGTCCACTAAATTTAACTGTTAACACTATTTTTCTATTTGTCCAAGCCTTTGTTACCAACATGATTCTCACACTGAGTCCGCACCGCACCTCTGGGCACCATGCACTGTCATAACACCAGCTGGAAGTCAACATATGACTCACACCAAGACGGTGCCCGAAACCTCAAAGCACCAAGTGAGCCACAGCAACAAAGACGTGAGACCAAATCACAGAGAAGTGTGTGACCATAAACTCACAGATCACTTGGTTAAAAGTAACAAATGCACAAAGATTTCCTGACATTTACAGGGCCCTAAAGGGGAAAAAATAATCCTAATTATGAAGAAAGCCCACTGTAATTACATCGGAAATTCAAATGCAGAAAGGACAAGTGAAGACGAGGCACCATTCGCCCCGCTTTACCTGGCAGGACGCTGGGGGGAGAGGGTGTAGGCACGGCGATGGGCACGCCCACACTGCCACTCCCGCTGTTCTCCCTGCTGCTGCTCCGGCTGCTCGGGTGGCTCCCGCCACTGCTCCCACTGCTGCTAAAGACAGAAAGGCCACCCAGACATGAGTGCTGCACACAGTGAGAGGACACCGACATTTCCCAAAATGCTCTGAAATGAGTATAGCTACGAAAAGATCATTCAAAAGATCTCACGTCAAATACGAATTTCTTAATAAAGTAGGGGAAAAAGCTGAGTTCAAGAAACTTGTTTTGACCACATTTTAACAAGCATGTATTAAAGAAATTAAGAAGAAAAAATTCTCCAGAAATTTAAGTGACAAATGATGGGGCTCAACACATAATGATATTACTTTCTTTTACTCCAGTTTAATTGCTTGTCTGAAGAAACACCTTTTATAATAAAAACATAGTTTTCCTAAACAGATTATTTAATTTTATTTATAATGATATCTTGATATACTATCCCATATTAATTTTTTATTGTATATAGTTTTTCATCTGTAAAGTTCCACCAAAAAACAACTTGAAATTTCCCACATCTGGTCCATAATTTGTTTTCAGGTCAACTGTAACTACTGATCTTGTGGAGAAGTTTGCACTTTGAGATGTCTGTTCGTCAACTTTCTGACTGCACAAAGTTGCATCAGAGCATGAGGAGAGAGAGGTGGCATCAGATGAGGTTTGGGAGAGCGGAGTGAGGAAAAGAACTCAGTGCTTGGAAAATGAGAGAAATTGAACTAAAGTTATCTGAACAAGTTATGGTACTATGACCATCACATTTTGTGCTGAGGTAGAGAAAATACCTGTAAGTTCGATTTCTTTGATTCACAGAAGCTGTCCTCACAGGGCTCTGCTGCGAGGGAGCCATATTACGGGTTGGGCTAGGTACGTAATCATTTGGTACCACTGGAGGACGCACTGGCTCCAGTGTGCGATAGGGGGAGTGCCGCCTACAAAAAGAAGAGCGTATGTATCGTGTGATTAGCAAGTTCGGGCACAATAAATTCAGAGTTGCCAGTAGTGAAATACAGTTTGTACTCAGAGATAGGAAAATGTGTTTTAACATAACCCAGCTACCAATTTCAATCTTTCCTTAAGTATCACTTCTCCACCATTAGGGTTTTGAGGAGTATTATTTTTTAGTTTCCAGCCTCATTTCCCTGTGCTAATGCAATTCTGCTCATTCATTCTGAGAGCGCGAAGATTCTCCCACCAGCTAAGCCAATGTTCCCCAGACTCTCTTCTTAGATGAGTTCAAATTATTTCAGTAGCATGTCAAAGTCGTCAAGCTGCACTGCATGAATGCACTCATCATCTTCCTCACCCCTCTCTCCCTAACCAGGATCTTCCAAGATAGGGTAAATAAATCCAGAATTTGGCTCCACGACCCCCACTTTGATGAGTAATAGCAACCATAACAATTCTTCTCCCTCTCTATATATTAAATACATAGAAATTAAACTATATCCAATACACAGAAATCCACAATTTAATCTCATCTCCTTCCATTCTCACCTCACATTCTCCTCCAAGTTTCACCTCGATCTCTCTTACCTTTTACCCTCCTCAGAGTTCAACATTTAAAAGGGAGAGGAAGAAAAAAAGACCACCGAGGTCTACCTTATGTACTTTGAACTGTCAAGTACAAAACAGACTGGATTTATTAACATATTTCCCTATTTTTCCTCAAAATTTCCTTTTAAAGGAAGAAAATGAGAAGAGTAAGAAAGGAACTATGACAGGAAGTAGGATGCACACTAGAACATTAGTGATTATTAAATTATTCTCATCTCTAAGTTTCCAAATTCTTTATGACAACGATAAATACTCAACTGACGTGAAACTAACATTTTGTAGATGAGATTCTGGTCTTCAAAAAAATAAAAATTGGGATCTCAAGATGTGAAAATTAAACAGCTTTCTTTCCGGAAATGATGTTGCTCCCTTGACTTATGTATTTCTTAGTAATTCCCTTCCCAAAAAGCTCCCAAGGATCCTTCAAACATTGCTCTCCTGGACTACTCAAGTTTTGGCTCATTGATTTTGGATGGCATCACTTTGCAATGACCCAGTCCATTCTACCACCCTCAAAATCTCCCTGCATAAATACATATATACATTAATAATTAAAAATAAATAAGGGGCACTAGACAAGGTATTGGGTCAAAGGAAGAAAAAGGAATGTAGAACCTTGGACATAAAATACCAAAAAGAAGTTCAGGCATCTCTGAAATTACAATGGAACTATAAAATAACCTAAGACAGGAAACTGATTAATTTCTAAATATCTGACTTCCAGACAATAAAAATGTTCTGCTTCATCCAAGAAAAAACCCTTTGCTGATTGAGAACTCTACAATGAAAGCAGTGATAAAGACAAGGTAAAAAACAAGGGGCAGAGGAACAAAACATGTTGGCTAGGCAAAGACATGTGAAAAGGCCAGGCTGTGACCATCAACCAACTTGTGGTGCGCGGTGACTCTGGTCACCAAGGATCCTGCAGAACCCTTGCTAACGCACAAGAAAAACAAATGCCAGTATATGAGTAAATCTTCAAAATTTGAGACTAACAGAAAATTTTATTTTATAAGACTACAGTGGGTTATCTTGCTAACAATCTTGATTCAAAACCTGTTAGGCACTATACATGATATAAATGTAGATATCCCACAGGAAAATGAAACAAATATTTCCTCGTGATCTGACTCTACTCTTACCCCTGCACAGCTACACCCTACCATGTCATCTACATTCTACCCTGAAGTTTAACTCCTATTTTATACTAGATTCTTTCCTCTCTAATCTAAGCAGACTGTTTTTTGCCCACCTGAAATAAAATCATCTTATTCCTGGCTGGAACTGATTTTTATTCTTTGGTTTCCAACTGTCCTAACTGTAATTCCTCTTCCAACATTATCCTCCTTTATATCCCAACTGGTCTTTGTCCTGTCCTGATCCCCAGGCTTGATTAGGTTTTTTTGTTGTTGTTTTTGGTGAGGGGGCCAAAAACTAGATTGTCAATTAAAAACGTTTAAGCATGTATCATAAAGCCAATGGTTGTCACAGCATTTTGTCTATGTCTTGTACATTTTTTAAAACTCCAATTTGTTGTACAGTGACTCTGAAAAGTTGATAGAGGACAAATATTACCCCCTTTTACAGATGAAAAAACTGAAACGCTAAGAGGCTGAGTATGCAAGAGCGCAGAGCTGGAGCAGAGCTGAGGCAGAGTTTCAGCCATCCAGCTTCGGGGCTGCATTGTGCCCACTGACCGCCAACCTGAATCACAGTACACCAAGTGTTTAAATTATGATGCTTTAGGAGGAAAAAAGTCAAGCCTTTCCATTAATTGACCATTTCTGCCAAAAGTCAAAGCTGGAGCCCAATTCTGTAGACTGAATGAAAGCTCAATGTTCTCATAACAACACAAGATAAACAGAACTTTATAATCTACACAGTGTTCTTCAGAAGAATAGCCTGAATGAGAACAGTCAACTGTAATATGAAAGACTCTGGAAGTTTTCTGAAAATGGAAATTAGAGTGCAACTTAAAATAAATCATGAACTTGGGCTAGAATTTTACCTAAAATTTAAAATTCTTTAGAAAAATAATTTCTGCATGAAATCTTTTTAAAGTCTAAAGATGTTTCCCAGGAAAAGGAAAAATGACACACACAAAAAAATAATCCTAGAAAGAAAATCTTCTCTTTTCAAACATTAAAAATTAGTTTAAATCCATGTAGCGTTTTTCACGCAGCACCACCCGAAATGGTTCCAACCCTCGCTCAGTTCCACACTCACCCAAGTGCCCCTTTCCCCGACAGGGGAGGGCTGGGGGGCTTCTGGGCCGGAGGTGTGGTACGCGGCAGCCCGCCCATCTTCATGTTCTGGGTACTCACCTAAAAAATTGTGAGGAAAACTTAACTTGCATGCAGTGAAACAAAGTGGCACTTTTGGGAAATAATACTATTTAACAAAGGAGGGGAAGGTTTAAATAGGAAAAACAATCAGAGGCCATGCATTTCATATGCAATTTCTAGTCTACTATTATTCTACAGTTGTACTCAAAGGACTCTTCCTAACATGAGATTTTCAAATGATCATAAACTTGTATGCAAAGACTTTATTTGCCATTAGGCCATCACACCAACAGATCACTGGTTAGACTGCTTAAAACTACAATCAATTGCAATTAAATAGGATAACCATAAAAAGCTTAGTTTTAATAAAGAGTAACTCAATCAGAAACAATAACGCCTTTAAGCAATTCCTTGTTTTTTAGATAGCAAATATATCATAAAAAACAAAATACACGTTTCCCAAATAAAATATACAACTATAGTTCTGATCCATTTTAACCAGAGAATATTAAATAAAGTTAAATTGTATGATATACAGAGAAAAATTTAGGTTTTTAAATGATGGATTGGCCATACAATTCAGACTTCTTTAATGTTCTCTTACGAAGGAATCACCTACCTGAAAACTGCCAGAAGTTGAGGCATGTGCCTAAACATCTGAAGCAGAAAGTTAGGGCTGAGGTATCCCATTCAGCTGGGAGCAGCACAGGGGCCACTAGCAATGTCCTAGTTCCAGTGGGAGTGAGACCCATTCAGGCCCAACATGGAGATTATTCAGGCATGGGAAAGACGTAAAATAGTCAGTTCTAAGGCCTCAGAGCTCCACCGTGACTCCTCACTACTCTATCCCCAACTGAAAATGCAAGTGTGGGAAAGTTGGGTAAACTGGGAACAATGGATGCTACCAAAGGAGCATGTTAGCACTTACACAGAAAGCCCTAGAAATCTGGATATCTCAAGGAGCTAAGGGAAGTCATTCACAAACATAGTTCAAATGCAATCTCAAGTTGCTTGAGATTACCGGTGAGTTAGAGTTAATGCTCACCATAGCATATCTGCCCCTATTTTTTAAGCCCCTAATATTTTGGATTGCCAAACACTTCAAAAAAGAATCAACTTTTCTAATAAGAAAAGTTCTAGAGTATCTAAATTATACTTGTAAAATGAAACTGCAAGACATTACACCACTGACATCAGAATATATTTATAACTGTAACTGCAAAATATAAATTTTAAGTAAACAAATCATAAATGTATACCAAGTACTGAGGCTGTTAAAATTAAATCTGACAAACAGAATTTTTAAAAATTCTAAAATATTACTAGTTATCTGAATAGGCAAGAAATAATATATCAAGAAACAAACTCTTCAAATGAATAGCCCAGTGAACAAGTTGTGTGTGATGTTAAAACAATCTTTAATGACAAATGATACCTTTGAAATGTCAGTATTTTTAAAGTGAAGCATTTATCTGTAATCCTTTTGCTGTTGCTTTTAAACAATAAAAACAAAACAAACTGGCTATCAAGTAAGAATAAAGATTAACTCGTCCTTGCTCTCCCCCTCATTAATAAACAGAGGGTATGCTAATCATAACTAAAAATGGAAATGCCAGAAGTTTTAAAAAAATTAATCCACATTTGGGGAAAATTTTAGGAGTCATATGACAAATAACCAATAGTTTTTAAAACTGTAAATCTTAATTTACAATACCAGAAGATTTTTTTAAAGTAGTAACCAAAGTCCTTTAAGCTCAACCTTAAACAACATAAAACCCAAAGTTACTTTGAGTGACGAGGAGGAAGTGGGTGAAGCAAACACTAAACTACATCCACCTGCTAGAAACAGGACGGAGAAGGAGCAGAGACAGAACAAGAGTAAAAGAGACGTTTATTCTATACATGGAAGAGCTAAAATACTTGAAAATAGCTTTCCAACTTTGATTTGTTTAAGGTTTTGATATGTAAGGTGTTTTTGTTTAAATTGCAGTATCATCTATAAGCCTTCTAATCTACCCCCAAAATAATACAAAATAAACAATCTATAAACTACAATCTGGTGGGTACTTCTATATGTAACACTTGAGACATTTTATGATCTGTAGAGTCATCAAAAAATTGTATTTGGTTAGTGGGATTTGGATGAGTAAATTAAACCACTTGAAAAAACCAGAGTTCCTGTAGAATGTCCAAATAATGTATAATTTTATACTTCACTGATACTGTATTCAGTGATACTGTATTCACTGGTACTTTATATTAAGCTAAAAGAGTTTTCAATATGTCTTTAATGTAGCTTTCCTTTGTGGGAAAAAAGGCTTCTATGCTAAGTAAAACTGAATATGCTACATAGAGTGTAAAAACTGCCATGAAATTTGAGGGAAAGGCAAGAGAACAGGAGCAACTGCCAAACAAAACTTAATTTCTTTACCATAGGTGGAATCTGTACTGTAATTAAAGTTTAAAAAAAAAACTCTATGTCAAATCTAAAATAATTTGGGAAAAAAATGCTTACTGGACAGCCATCATAGTTCTAAAAACTTTTTTGAGGTAAGTTTATGAGGGAAACAACATTTCCTGACAGTAGCAAACACGTGACTAAACTGTGTGTGGTGACGGGGAACTTAGCTAGAGAGAGAGTGCGTGTGTGTGAGAGTGCGTGTGTGTGTGCAGCACAAACTCAGGACAAAGAAAAAGAAGCAACACTGCACCCACTTCATAACAGCACTTCCGACGAAACTTCTTAAAAAGATTGCAAACAAGCAGAACTATCATCTGCACATAAACATGCAGTTAATGGTCCCGAATGACGAGTGGGAATGTTCATGATGCTTCTCAAAGTTTTACTTGGGAACTGGAATGAAATTTTGGTGGCTGGCTGCAACAATAATTCAATTACATGGGTATGTTTTGATTCCATAGAGGGGAAAGTCATCACTGAGAGCTAAATGAAGGAGGTATTAGGCACAAGGAAGAGCAGTAGGAGAGGTCCCTTCCTTTCCCCTACCAGAGAGAAATCCTCAAAACAGAAGAAATATTTCATTTAGGTGATGAAGCTTAATTTATGGCCACAGCACAAATATTTTCCCAATGGTCTGTGACCAAGGAAGGCAGATAATACTGGAGGTAGGAGTAGTTCCTTTATGATCAAAGAGTGGCTTCGGAGATGTCTACAACCAGCACCAACCATCAGGCCAGTCGTCACACCTTAACATTGTTTCTACTGTGACCCTACCTTCCCTGCCCTGTCCCTGCTCTATCCTTTGTGGAACTTCAGTATCTCCTTGAACCTTGATATATAATACGACGTTCATTACAAATTTCAGTGTTTTCCAGGACTCTGTGAACCTCAGTATTTTTTATACAGCTGGCCAGCCAGGTACCTCTAGTTCGTAGAGCACATCACTTCTGCTATGAAGAGACCTCCCACTGACGGATGCCCTGCTGCAACGTGACAGTGGCAGACACACCCTAAAATAATACCTGTGGTATAGCCCTCATTTATCAACCACCTACCACCTGCCAAACTACTAGGTACAAGGGTAAAGGAATGTGAAAAATAACGGGGACACTGGGGGACACAAAGGTCTATAAAATGATTTCTCTGTTTTTAAGTAACTTATAATATTCTGGAATAAATAAGACTCACATGTTTAAAACAAAAAGGAATGTCTACAAATTATATAGAAAGTCCCCAAAAAGAAATATCAGTGTTAAAAGGAATAGCTAGGTTTCACAGAGAAAACTCTGGGCTGGAGTGTTAACAAATTTAAAAAGAACAGGATTAAAACATCCCAAGAAGACGAGCAGCATGTATAGGTCGCATCTGGGTGTGGAGTAGCGAGGACGTGAAGAAGCTGCGGTCAAGCACCTCCAGGCCTTCCTTTCACGTCCACTACTGTCCCCGTTAGTCCTCCCCAGTATAGGATTCTTTGGCTTCCTAGAGATCTCTATGCCTCTCCTACTTCAATTCTGGGGGCTAGCAGGCAAAGGACCAGGAGATCCTCTGAGGAAGCAGAGCTGAAATCAGGAATTTGAGTACGAATTCAGGAGAGAAGAAAAATTTTAGTAAGAGAGTTAGAAAGACAAAAAGCTTAAGGTGCCCAAGAGTCCTAAAATACAGTAATCTAATTCAGAGATCTGGAGTAAGAGACTAGGAGTAGCAGGGGAGAGAGACAGATAAAGAAAGGAGAAGAAAAGAAGAAGAAAGATGGACGAACTTGATTGACGGAAGAATCTGCTTGATTCTGCAAATAGTTTCTGACAAGTGGCTTTTGCCAAAATCGAATTGGTGGCTCAAGATTGGAACTAATAGGCAAAAACAGATGGACCTCCCAAGGGTTGCTGTTTATGGAGTTTTTCTTCCAAGTGTTGTGTCAAATAAATGCCTCAGAGTGACCCCTCAACTGCATCTGAAGCTAGAAATGTGAGGGGAAACTGAGCACCCAAGTGTAGGGAATGGCAAACACTTGTTAAAGACTGCACTCAAATGAAAAAGCTAGCCCGTTTTTTCACATACAGTTAAGTTACAGATCTTCAAGATCCCAAGCAAAATTGTCCAAAGTGTTATACTCTTACTGTTTTAGCTGTAAAATAACCCCTAACTCCTCCTCATTAATTATTTAGACTCTGCTTGCACACTGTTCAACTGAAATAAGTACTACTTTAACAGAAGTCTTTACTATTTTTGATTAAACTAATATACTTATTTAAAAAGTACTTAAGCTTAGCTTCCTTAGTGACAATTTTACTACTTTCAACAGAAAAATCCATTTCAAATATATACATCAGTAACATGGTCTTAAAACTCTTTTTATTATTAAAATAAAGAGTGGAGAAAGCATACCACAGTTTAAGGTACATTCCACTTTCATATGGCCTCAGGCACATATTAAAAACACTTCTGATATGGCATTCTATCCATTAGCTTTTTATGCCTTTTACTGTAAAAATATCACCACATTGTTTTCAAAGGTCTTTTGAATTAAAATCTACAACTTGTTCTCCTCAGTCAAATGAATGAAAAACAACTAACCCAAATTTCAGATGAAAAGAACCATTAAACACCGGCAGAACATGCTGTATAAAATGTTAAAATTTCAACTCTTAAGCATGGAGGTCTCTTCTGAGTCCAAGCCCATGTGTCTGGTCTCAAAGTATGATCTTAGTTTACAGTCTGTCTGAAAGGCATCAAAAGTCTGACAGCAACGGAAGCAAAGACAGAGCCTCATGAAGAGGTGAGAAGGAAATCAAAGAGGAGATAAGCCTATCAAACATCTGGAGACCTCTAGGGCACTTGATACAATCCATAGGTCTCCAAGAAGCTCAGGCAGAAAAACACTGGACTAGTTTATTATCTGCAGTCCCCTCCAACTGTAACATTGTTTTCTTTAACTCTATATTTTCTACCTTTATATAATCAATTATTCCATTAATCACTCTTCTAAAACCACTCATCTTTTTTTCACCAGCATAAAAAGAGTAATGATTTACTATATACTGAATATTTTTTTCTACTCTGTTTTGGTTCACCCAAAATTATTAACTATGTGCCACAAGTTTTTAGAGAAGACGGGCATACAAAGGATAGGAAGAAAGACAAGACAGAGCACTGGCACATTGTGGCTTCGAGGATGAGCTCAGGGTACTCTTCTCACCCTGTCAACTCCACTCCGATATAAAACAAACACCTACACGGAGCCATCTTACTCAGGAGCGGAGCTCGGTGGTGCAAAAAGTGAAGACGTAAAGGAATGCTTATCCAAGTGTGATTTCCCTGTTAGACTGTCTAGGAGTCTCTCATTTCCCACTCATTTTGGCCTGTCTCCCACATGGAAAAGATCCTGAACCCAGGAAGGTCAAGAAGGAATCACAGTAATGTTTGGAGGAAATGAGCATGGGATAGGAGCTTAGCCAAGCTGGTCTAAACTTTAAGGGAAAAGAACTGGTCCATTTCTGGGGTTTTCCCTCAGCTAATCTTTGTGTGCACTTCTATCACTTTGGAGGTTAACACAGCAATAGCCAAAATCTGAACACACACTTTAGGGGTAAAGAGCCAGGGGAGCCACACAGACTGCTTTCAATCTAGTTGTACCTACTTTATGCGACAGGAATCCCCTCAATTCCACATGCTCACTCATGGAGATCGAGGGCTTGGGGCCAACACTCCAATCAAGAAAACAAAAAATACATTAGCCTGGGCTCCACTAGTCACATTGCTCCACTAGTCACATTTCTCTACTAGGATCTGCTGAGATCTCGGGGGCCTAGGTTAGCAGCTAGTCAATGATTCAGGTCTCAGTCATCTTCTCTTCATGTTATCACTCACTACACTGAGGACAAGGCAAACAGGGTATTAGATGGAAAGAATATGTATTTGAAAAGAAATTACAAAATTCAGCTAAGAAAAAAAGAACAAGAAAGAAATGCATGCTCAGTTTGGTGAAAATAATTTTAGTAACATTCCATTTGACAGGCTCCTTGAATACACTTGAATGTCTTTTACCAGTAATCTTCCAAAACACTAAAATGTTACTGCAACAAATAACAAAAGGAAATATTATCTCTAATTCTTAACCTGTATTCTGTTAAACACTATCATGAGCTTTTGATGTTTTGCATATAATTAATACTCAGCTTGAAAGACTTAAAGTGAGTTTATACTGAAATACACATTTTATATAGAAATTTGAAAAATACAACTAATTGTTTTTTCCAAAATACATGATACTGCAACTTAAAAAAAACCCATAACATTATATATTTTCTGCTTCTCAGTTTCTTTATAGTGATTAAGAGTCAAGAGATAATGACATACTGGCCACAAGGTGTTTAACAAAGCACACCATTTACAGAATAAAAAGTCTATCACACAGGGGAGGGTTAAATAAAGCACATCAGTCGGCCCTCCAATCCATAACAAAATTTCTACATTTAGAAAGATCCAGCTAATGGTATTTCATAATGACATTTTTATGATAGACTAACTTACATTTCAGTTTCACAAAATATATTAACAATGCTAAATAACCATTTACTCAGCAAATATTTACCAAACACCTAATGTGTGTCAGGCACTGTTCTAGGCACACAGCACAGGGTAGTGAACAAAACAGACAAAAATATTTGCCCTTATGGAACATGAACACCACAAAGCTGCATGACAAAAATAAAATAAAAAAGAGTAATTATTGGTTGGTTTTAAAAGGCCAAATGCCAAATATCTCTTCACTCCCCATATGTAATATTCTATGTAAGAACAAAGAATGGAAATCCAGCCCTGGAATCTCTTACCTTAAATCTAAGCAACCACTTAATGCATAAATGGAGCAAATAAAAGAAGTAAGAAAAAAGCATTGAAAGGTTAGTTGGAACTTCAGGATGTGAAGAGAAAGGAAAAAAACAAAGAAAAAACAAGTTAAGCATTCAGCATTAAAAAATAATGTTTCAGTAGATCATAGAAAGAGTGGTTAAAGCAGAATGTGTCATGAACAGGAGTTTTTTGTTTTTGATGAAATTATATAAGACATTGCTTTAGTCAAAAACTTAAGTTTCAATTAGTGACCCCTGAACACTGAAAGTCCAAACAATGAAAAGGACTACAGAGTCCTAAAAGAGTAACATTTTACTTGAGGATTAAATAAGAATTGGGGTGGGGGGAAATCACCTTTTATTACATAATCGGGCAAGCACAAATACGATGTTTTATATTCTAAATGCTTTTTGTCGTTAGATTCTGGCAGTACCCTAAAATTTTCTATTAGCACTTGTTAGCCTTGAATAAACTTCAAAAGATTTTCCCAGGTTAGAATAAATTTCAGTTATTACTTATCCATCCAATTACACATCCTATTTTACATGCTCTAATTAGTCCAGTAATCTAAATGCATGTAGGTGTCAATTATAAAATTAAATATCAAATTTCAGATAATAGTGCTTATACCAAAATTGTGAGGAAGAAAAGGATTTTTTTTAAAAATTTACACTGTACATTTTCTTTTACATAGATCTATACTAAATTTAGATTTAACTGACTTCTAGGCATACTAGTGTGGGGTATATTTTTTTATTTAAATTTATATTTAAATATATTACACATAAATCAGCTTCTATTAAATATAAATCAACTGCATGAACTATACAGTTTCTCTTAGAAGCAGATATATCTTCAAAGTCACATTTGATAAGTCATTTGTTTTTCAAATCACTGATGAGATGCAAACTTTAAATAACTTAATATTTAGCTGAAGCCCTGAACAGCCTAAGTTTATGCACCAATTTAAATGAAACTTACAGACTCCTCAGTTTTGATTATGATACTTTACATAAATAGCAGGCACTCAAATACATTTTAAAAGATAGCCAAAATATATAATGGCTATATACTCAAAAGCAGTGGAAGGATTAATTCACATATTACTATTATCTACACTATTCTCACCCAAAATGTCAAGATACAGTCATTTTAGAAAAATTCAAAGTACATGTTTGTTTATATATGTTCTTTCTGAAAACTAATGCCAAAAGTTTGCTGATAAATTTTTTGAGATAAGGTAAATAATAACATACTGAATAATTTTAATATCATATTAAATCATTAAAAGATTAAAAAGATTACACACACTTATTTACCAGATATATATGAGGTATTATCATAACTGAATAAGTAAATCCAATTCATTCAAAGATGATTGTTTACAACTTGAGAACACAGTGCTAAGAAGAAGCAAGAAGGATAAAAGTTATAGCAGTAAGGAATCTTCAGAACCACAACTGGGCCAAGATTTGGTTCTCTAGGAAAGGAAAGATAAAAGTTTAATTTTCTAGAGTTAGTTTCATTATGGGCTATTGTTTTAAAAAGCTTGACAAAAATTATACTTACCTTTACTCCATGTCCAATATCATCTAGAATAGTATAGTCAATAGGTTTTCTAATGTAACGAACTGGTCGTTCAAGGTTAGCTGGAGCAATAATCTTATGTGTCCTTGAAGTGTTTTTATTGGTAGTCAAAATACCAATTTCTCTTCTTGCAACTTTCTCTTTATGAATATCAACAGTCTGCAAAATATAAACACAACACAAAAATATATAGCTCTAATATCTAGAAAAATCAAAATATAAATGCTCAGAGACTTAACATCATTTTTCATATTCTTAATCATAACTGATAAATTTTCTCCTTTTTGGACTAATACTGACTTTCTCCATTTTTAGGCTAAAGCAACGGTTGGCAAACCATGACTGGTAGACCAAATCTGGCCCACCATCTGTTTTCTACAGCCCAAAAGTTTTGAGTGGTGTTTACATTTTTTAGTGGTTAAAAACCTCAAAAGAAAAACAATGTCATGACGTGAAAATTGTACAGAATTCAAATTTCAGTTTCCATAAATAAAGTTTTATTGGAAAACAGCCATTCTACTTGCTTACATATTTTCACACTACCACAGCAGAGATGGGTAGTTGTAATGGAGACCTCATGGCCTGCAAAGTCTAAAATATTTACTAGACGGCCCTTTACAGAAAAAGTTTGCCAACCCCTGGGTTAAAACAAACTAATTTTTCCCCTCTCCACTAAGATTTGGCCTAATATAATGATTAAAAATTAATCATTATATTAGCCCCAGTGATTAATCTGGCTACATTTAAAAATAGCCTAGGGCCCAGCCCATGGCTGAGCAGTTAAGTTTGTGCGCTCCAATTTGGTGGCTCAGGGTTTCACCAGTTTGGATCCTGTGCACGGACATGGGACAGATCATCAGGCCACGCTGAGGCAGGGTCCCACATGGCACAACCCTAGAATAGACAACTACGTACTGGGGGGCTTTAGGGAGAAGAAGAAGGAAAAAAAGAGAAAAGAAATAAAGATTGGCAACAGATGATAGCTCAGGCGCCAACCTGCGCCAAAAAAAAGGATATTTAAAAAAATAAAAATAGCCTATTAGTATAATTTCTATTAGTGTTGAAATCGCTTTTTGTAAAAAAAAAAAAAAAAAAAAAAAAAGGGAAAGGCCTGGGGCTGGCCCCGTGGCCAAGTGGTTAAGTTCGGGTGCTCCCCTGCAGGCGGCCCAGTGCTTCGTAGGTTCGAATCCTGGGCGTGGACATGGCACTGCTCGTCAGACCACGCTGGGGCGGCATCCCACATGCCACAACTAGAAGGACCCACAACGAAGAATATACAACTATGTACCGGGGGGCTCTGGGGAGAAAAAGGAAAAAAAAATAAAATCTTTAAAAAAAAAAAAAAAAGGGAAAGGCCTAAAATATAAATACAATGTTAAAAATAAAAGTCATTTTTTTACAGAAAAACTTAAGTTTACTCAGGCTAAGCTGCTTATATTTTACCATGACACAATTGTTGTAAAATATTTCATCAATATATTTTATTTATTAAATGCTCACAATAGGATATAATTTAGTACAGAACGACACTGTGTTTTTACTCAGTTTTTTATTTGCTAATAGAGGGTGAATTTCTCCACAAACACAGGTAATTAACACACTAAGACAGCATTTTTTTTTTTAAGATTTTATTTTTTCCTTTTTCTCCCCAAAGGCCCCCAGTACATAGTTGTATATTTCTCGTTGTGGGTTCTTCTAGTTGTGGTATGTGGGACGCCACCTCAGCGTGGTCTGACGAGCAGTGCCATGTCCGCGCCCAGGATTCGAACCAACGAAACACTAGGACGCCTGCAGCGGAGTGCGCGAACTTAACCACTCGGCCACAGGGCCAGCCCCACTAAGACAGCATTTTTCAAACTGCAGATTGCAATGTAGTGGGATGTGAGCAGCAATTATTTTAAATGAAATAGAACAGAAATATCAGGCTGCATGTTTACCTGTAAGGTAAGAATTGTTTCTTGAAACATTTGTTATGTATATAAATACATACACGAATTGTGTACTGGACGCAATGTACAATGTATTTTTTACTGTGAGTTGCAGTCAAGAGTCAGAAAAGTACTTCACTAAAATTGTTCACATCTCTTACCATCGTTCCTGCCTCAGCAGCAATTAATAGACAATTTTGCTAATTCCTCCCCAGACCCACTTCAATTTCCCCTTTCTAAAAGAACCAGTTAATAATACAGAAATGGAGAGAAAAGATAACCATCATGACACTATTAAACATCACTTTACGAAATCTGAAAGCTGATTATTTATCCTTCTAAACTACCTGAAGTATGAAGAGAACTTGAAATAAATTCAAAGCCTCCTATTTCAACCAAGAGATCTTAAAAGCAACAGAATCTCTAAGTTCTGAACTAATAAATGTGTAAAGTAAGCATCAAATAAAAGACTGGCCATGGTAGTAACCTTATCATTTTAAGTATTTCTTTTTAAGATGAAAATGGTCTTTGAACTTTTTCTGTGCATGTTAGGTAAATTACAAAATCTTTCCTTTTCAGCTGGTTGGGGGAGCTATAACAGAAAAAAGAAGTTTGCATATTAGTGAAGCTATTGGAATTTACCTATTTTTAACTTCAGAGAAATGAAAATCAATCATCTTTTGAATAATTTTTAATGGGTCCTCCTGAACCATTAAAAATATGGGCTAGAAAGATTTCGTACTCATGGCATATGCTTCAAAATAAAAAACAAACAAAATATGGCACTTATTTTTTATATACCTGTTGTTTGTCATATCAATAAAAGAAAATTTATTAGAGAATGTAATCCTCTTGAGACACTTTTTACTCCAGTTTTTAGAAATGTAATTATCTTACCTAGAAATGAAACCATAAGAATGCAAACCCAACCAAGCATAATAGAATTCTAAGCATATGGCAAATTGAACTTCAATTTCAAATCTTCCTACTAGAAATACTAATAAATCTCTGGAGAATGAAAAGGGAAGAGCAACTTTCACTTATTATTTGCACTAATATACAGTTGTATTTTATAACAAGCACATATTTTTAAATTGCTCGAAAATTGAGACTTTTTTTAAAAAAAGCATTAAAACATCTGATCATACCTGGGGACAGGAAGCACTTACATATCACCTATATGTTCTCTTTACAGACACACACACACATAGCCCAAACCCATAGACCATTCTGCTAAGGATAAAAGGAAGGCCAATACAGCAAAGGAAAAGATCACAGAACTGTAAGTAAGCCTAAATAAGAGAGAGTTGCTATAATGAGGCACAATATTGGGCTCTTAGCTTCCGGAGAGAGAAGGCAAAGCAGAAACAATGAGTTACAAGGAAATGTGCCCCTTCATCAGGGAAGTGACAATTTTCCCAGCACTAAACTCTAAAGGAACTGGTTGAAGTAATTACGAGAAAAATGCTCTTTGTTGCCTCTCGTGCTAATTCTCACTAAAAACTGAAGGCTATTTTAAAATATAATTCTTAACAGCATGTCTATGGAAAGTAAAAATAATTTAGTTTGGCTACATGATGTTTCTAGTTGTCTACTCCAAACGAATGCCTACATCTTAGAAAAACCAGAACAGGGTTTCTCAACAGCAACATTCCTGACATCGGGGCCGGAGAACTCTTTGTTGAGGGGGAGCTGGCCTGAGCACTGCAGGATGTGGAGGAGCGTTCCAGCGATACCTGGAGCTCTCCTCGACCTCAAGTGGCGACAACCAAAGATGTCTGACACTGCCGAATGTCCCCTTGGGAGAAAAACTGCCCTGGCTGAGAAACCAGTGATCTAGAGAAAGGACTAATTCATTTGTCTCTTACGTTATTCACTCTCAAATATCAATTGTTTTCAAACTTTTTCTAAGAACTGACTCAAGATTAATGCCTCTAGTTACTGCATAAGTATAGATATTTGGTGCCATTAACTTTTTTTAAACATTTACAGTAATAAAAGTAATATATGGTTAAGAAAAATAAAGAGTATAATCCGTATTCTTGCCATCCCACTACCACACTGGGTTGAACTGTAGGAATTCCTGTGGACAGAATCAAACACACATTTGGAGAAGAGCTACAGTTTTATTTAGAGTCTGAATAACAATTTAGTGGAGAATAATAAATCTATTCCACAAATAAAGAGCAGAAAGTTTGGTCCAGAAGATTCTGAAGCTTTCAGCAATCACCTATTTCCAATTTTTCAAAGCTTTCTCTTGTGGAAAATATAATCAGTCAAATTAGACAGAGTAATATAATGAACACCCCCCACAGAACTAACATCCAGCTTCAACATTCACCAACTCACAGCCAATTGCCAGTTTTAAAAGAACTTCTGTAAAGCTCCTATGACATATTTTTAAATAAAAAGATATGGCAACTATGTTACTATGTTTTTCCTAAATCAAATTCAGAGTTTTCAGTAATCACCATTGCCTTTGCCTTCATAATATTCTTTGACATTACAATGCTAAAATGTATTAAGTTAAATTTTGAAAGGACAAGTTCAACACTGATATTTAGGAAGAATGTTAATAGTAAGACAAGTATTTCAAATTTATCCTAGATTTCTAAAGTTTTTAGTTATATGAGAATTAACTTGCTCTTATTTAGAAAAGGCCTCAATAACAGCACTCACCTGTAACTAGCTGGCAAAGACGACCAAAACTAATGCAAGTACGCAGCCATTAATATTATTATTGTTTGCTACCTGTTAACCAAAAACACACCAAGTAACTGTCACCGCAACTGTGCAGGACTTAAACATCTGTTCTCGCAGTTCCTTAACTTGTTTCTTCATCCTTCTTACTGCTATTGCTAAGCTGGTCTCGCATGCTGCGGGCTGCCCCCACCAGACTTCAGCCACACAGTGCCAGGCTCTCCAGGATACCTCTTACCGCCTTGAGATAATCACACCGACTCCCAGCTCCCTTGCAAGCCTGCGCCCCGCTCTCACATCTCCATCACAGACCCAAGCACGCACTCAGGCCACAGCAGATGGACAGGAAGGTCCTGTACAAAGAATTTATTTTAGGGTTACCCACGCATTGTTGTTTCCCATTACCACAGATAATCAAGGGCTGACTGCACTGAACAGCACTACCTCGGTTAGCTGCCCAGCAGTGTGGGAAAACATCTGCAATCAAACAATTACAGTGGGTTAACTCAACTAAGTTGAGTGCTTTTAAATATGAGTCTTGAATGTTTTATTAGTAAGTTAACATTTCAAGTAAGCATTTAATTATCTAAATTACAAATATGCTTTAAATTATTCATCTTTCATAAAACAAATTAGTAACAAGCTGAATGGTTCATTTTCAGTTATTCATTTTTTTATACAATGATATAAACTATACATACGAAATTAATTAGGAACTGCATAAAAAAATTACCTACAGTGAGTTCCTCAGGGTTTAGACCTTCCATTGCCTTTGAGGACCTAATCCTTAAGAAGAATTATTTCCATCCTTCCATTTTTTCACAATCATTCCTTTCTCCCTCCTTTACTTGCTACCTGATACCTACACTACTTCAACACTTGGCCCAGTAAGCCCTGGTCAGCTCTTGGGAGGGTGGGAGGAACACTACTTTTTAAGTTCTTCATGTTGCCTTTTGACCTCTCTTGATCTTCTAAGCCATGATGAACTGAATATAGCCAGCACTGACTGTTTTTAGTAGTTAAGAGAAGAATTTTAGTTTAGAAGTTTCTAAGAATCTTAGTTTGAATAATGTTGTATAAACCTTTTTTTTGGTTTTTACTTACCAGAAATGGACACAGTATGAACAGCATTCATCTTTCTACATAGTGCTATTCTGACTTAAAAGTACCTATGTGTGCTTATATAAGTATTCAGTAAAATTAAAAGTTTTCTCTGATAACTAAATATTCTTGAAAAATATTCAATGTTAATTTAAATCCTACTCTCAGTTTGAAGATTAAAAATTTCAATTAGTTTTTCAAATAATATGCTTCCAAAGAATTGATAGGATAATAGGAACAAAGCTAGAAATGGAATTTCTTTAAAATTTACCATCCTTAAAATAGCTAAGGTAATCCACATAAAGATAGCCTAATATTGCCTTATGGATATGGTGAGTGTGGTGTAAATTAGTACACTACTTAATACTATATTGTTTTTTAGTACAAAAATGTGTCTGATACTAAATATTTGTAATCAACTGTCTTGTTTCTCAAAACACTTGACATTCAGAGAACGAGTTATTACTCTGTTTTGTTGAAGTACTTCTTCCTGATACATAGTTGGTCGAGTCCATGGAATTACTACCCTCAGATTCAAATTCAGAGTAATTTGGAGGGGGATGGCCCGGTGGCGCAGTGGTTAAGTGCACATGTTCCGCTTCTCGGTGGCCCAGTGTTCACCAGTTTGGATCCCGGGTGTGGATATGGCACCACTTGGCAAAAGCCATGCTGTGGTAGGCGTCCCACGTATAAAGTAGAGGAAGATGGGCATGGATGTTAGCTCAGGGCCAGTCTTCCTCAGCAAAAAGGGGAGGATTGGTAGTAGTTAGCTCAGGGCTAATCTTCCTCAAAAAAATAAAGAGTAATTTGGGAAATAGTTCAGTTCCATCAGAGTGACAGAGGGTTGAGGTCAGCGGGGCACAGAATAAGCGAACAGCAGACCCAGCAGAAGAGAAAGAGAAAAAGGCAATCACAAGTTCATTTGTGAGAATCTCAGAAGAATAAAGAATTTCAGATGGAAGACAGTTCAGAAAACATAAAATCAGTTCTATCATTTTACAGATAAGAAAATCTAAGTTCAAAGAAGCCAAATGTCAGACAAGTCAGCAGAAGAGCCAGAGTAAAACCTAGAGCCCCCACCCTCAGCCCTCCCAATCCTACTCAGCCTTCATTTCCATGAAAATGGAGAAAAGAGCTGGAGCACCAGGAGGCTGAAAAGTGATCCAGTTCTTACCCAGGAAACAAGAAAAAGATAGTGATGAGGACAGAAATCGAAGACCTCAGATATCTAGCATCTACTGGCCCCGAACCACGCTACAAAATAGCCCGTCAATCACACTGACATCCATCACCATTGCAACAGACAAGTGCCCGTCTCTGACCTGACAACCCCTGCCCTCTTTGCTTCTGCCATCCCATCTCCTCTCCAATTCTCCAAGCCTAGTATTTTTGCCTAAATTGCAAAACACTCTGGTCTCAAGATATCTTAAGAACCTTCTGACCCTCTCTACAAACAATAATCTTCTTAACTAAGCATAATAATAATAAAATTTAAGTACCAAACATTTGAAAAACCAGTATTTTAGAGCAAGGGCTTACAAACTATGGCCTACATGCCAAATCTGGCCCAAAGCCTGTTTTTATATGGCCCATTTCATATGGCCACATTTTCTCTTACATTACAGAGTAACTTTTCAGTCTAAGGAGCAAACAGTTTTGATATTCAGTTGACTTTTAAAATAAAGACTCTACCTGTACATTAAACGTAAGTGAAAAAATTTTCTATCATTAAGGCAAATGATAAAAAATATATAAAATTTTTAAAATTTACTCTTATTTTTCTTAGATATAGCCTCCATCAACCCATTTCTCCTACTCAACCCCTCATCCAACATGCTAAGACACACTCGGTGTAAACCTAACAGCAGCTGTAGAGCAGCAGAACCCTCCCTCCCCAGCTACTGCTCTCCAGACTTAGCTTAACTCCAAATGAAGAAGGCTCAACATATTCTTGACAGCTCTCACTCAAGCCCCTGTTATTTCTGACCTACTAATCTCTATCCATTCATCACTTCCATTTCTTACTTATTCCATTAGAATAGCTTAAAAGACAGTATTAGACAATGTTAATATAAATTTGTGATACTCGAAAATGTTCTCATTAACTGAATTAATACATGTACGTATTAGCTACAGTAGACTTATTCACTTTCCTCCTTAAGGGTGCTACCCTTCCTATCAAAGAACTACAAAATCCTAATCAGGAAACAGATGACTCTCATTCATTGTCATTTACTTGTTGTTATCATCTACTCACACAATCTTTCCTACTTTCTCTTGAAAACTAATAAAAAGCTGTCCCTCCTTTTTAGGAACTCTAATATATTAATTTCTCTTCTGGACTTGCACTTTTCTTCCTACATTCTTTTTTGGGTCCTCTGACACAACTTCAAATATGCAGAAATTTTAAGACTCTCAAGTATAAACCTCAAAATTCTCTATCAGATTAGCAACGGTCAACATCCCTTCTTCTTAGAAAACCAAGTTTAATCTATTTCATCATTTAAAATTCCACTGATAATTTCCTGTAAGAGATCTTTTCAGAAGAAAATTTACCTCTCACTCATTAAAACTCACCAATTCTTTGCTTTTCTTTTCAGTTTAAGAGAAACAGCAATACAACAAGCAATAAATTATACCATGTCTACAGAAGTTAATATGGGATGTGAATAAACTCTAATAGTGGCAAATTCAGAGTTAAGATGAAATAATATTAAATAACAAGAAATATCTCTGAATGGTCTGATGAATTTTCAAGTAACAGAAATATAAGGTAGACCTCCCATATTGATTTATCTAGACCATATTTTATTTAATTATACAAATTAAACTTCAGACTTCAAAAAATGTTGAATTAATCAATTTCAAAAGAGTCCTGAACTCTTAAGATATAGACAATAAAAGATAATATGCAATTTTAAATTTCATTTTATTCCAGAGGGGTTATAATCATTTACATCTAAAAAGAGTGTTGAATACTAGCAAGCTACTCAAATGACAAGCGTGCTAAAATAAAAAAGCTCCAAGGATCTCATCAAAAAGAAGCAGGCAGATCAAAACCTCTACCTTTTTAATGTTTTAAAATGCATTTTGCATTTACAAATTGGTTTTTCATTGCACTATTATTTTAAATGGCCCGAAAATAAGGAAGGGTTATAAAAGCTATAACATATGCACGCAACATTATGCAACCACTGAAATCATTTATAAAGAACTTAAAACATCATGGGATGTTTTATATATAATATAATCACAGCTAAATTTTAAAAATTATTTATAAGAAAAAAGTATTAGATGGAGATATACCAAAATATTAATAGTGAAACATGCAAGTAGTGGGGAGAGGGCTAGTTTTTCCATTTTGTCTCTTTTTCTGTATATTCATGAGCATGACTTTTATAATGGAAAAAGTATAACATTAATTTTTTTTTAAGTTCTATATAAAGATAATTTTATAAGGTCACTTAGATTAATCTTTCCATAATTGAGGTATGGTGCCATCCTGGTAAACAAAAATCCTACCAACAGAAACAAAATTTACACAAGTCATCAAGCTACCACATTTATATTTTCAAAAAGATAACTAATTTGGTAAAAGTTGGAAGAAATCCAATAAATTTTCACCTCAAGGCTGATTATTTTAACATGACAACTGAGTTTTAATAGAAATCATTCAAGTTTACTTCCTTATCAAAATCACAGAGAAGATAATCACTCCACAAAAAGACAGAATCAAAAAACAACCTAATATTGAGTTTGTATTTTCCAAATCAAACGTGGGTTAACTCACATAATAAAGGCTGCCAGCATTACAGAGTGCCTGTGTTTATTAAGTGTTCCTCATAGGCAAGATAGGAAAATAGTGTGGTCTCACTTGGGAAATATGATTGATTGAAGATTCCATCCTTCGCAGCTGGGACGCCTGGATATCCAGCATCTGCAGGACATTGTTGGCCAAGGTATTTATCAGATAGGCAACACTTGCTAAGGACTGGGTGGTGTAGGCTTTGGTTTCTTCTAGGGCTCTCTGCTTATCTGCGGACTAGGAAAAAGAAAATCATCAATTCAAAGAATTAATTCAGAGATAACCCGTTCCATCAATCTAATATACAAAAATACTCATCAAAACCATTCTGTTGCTGAATCTACACACATTAATTAAAAAATGTTCTAAAAACTAATTATCAGTATCATTAAACCCAACAACTAAACTGTTCGCTAATATTTTCATGTTGAATAGATACATCTACGTACAGATGCAAATAAAATACTGAAGCCATTATTTAAAAAATGAGCGCCAAAACAAAAGACCCTGAATTGCTAAAGCAATCCTGAGAAAGAAGAACAAAGCTGGAGGCATTACAATCCCTGACTTCAAAACATACTACAAAGCCACAGTAATCAAAACAGCATGGTACTGGTACAAAAACAGATGCACAGATCAATGGAACAGAATTGAAAGCCCAGAATTAAAACCACACATCTATGGACAGCTAATCTTTGACAAAGGAGCTGAGGGCCTACAATGGAGGAAAGAAAGTCTCTTCAACAAATGGTGCTGGGAAAACTGGACAGCCACATGTAAAAGAATGAAAATCAACCATTCTTTCTCACCATTTACTAAAATAAACTCAAAATGGATCAAAGACCTAAAGATTAGGCCTGAAACAATAAGTCTGCCAGAAGAGAATATAGGCAGCACGCTCTTTGACATCAGCTTCAAAAGAATTTTTTCGGACACCATAACCCCTCACATGAGGGAAACAATAGAAAGAATAAACAAATGGGACTTCATCAGGCTAAAGAGCTTCTTCAAGGCAAGGGAAAACAAGACTGAAACAAAAAAACAGCCCACTAATTGGAAAAAAATATTCACAAGTTATTTATCTGACAAAGGGTTAATCTCCATAATATACAAAGAACTCACATAACTCAACAATAAAAAATCAAATAACCCAATTACAAAATGGGCAGGGGACATGAACAGACATTTCTCCAAAGAAGATATACGGATGGCCAACAGACACATGAAAAGGTGCTCATCATCACTAATCATCAGGGAAATGCAAATCAAAACTACACTAAGATATCACCTTACACCTGTTAGAATGGCAAAAATATCCAAAACCAAGAGTGACAAATGTTGGAGAGGCTGTGGAGAAAAGGGAACCCTCATACACTGTTGGTGGGAATGCAAACTGGTGCAGCCACTATGGAAAACAGTATGGAGATTCCTCAAAAAGTTAAGAATAGAAATACCTTATGACCCAGCCATCCCACTACTGGGTATATATCCTAAGAAACTGAAATCAGCAATTTCAGAAGCTCTATGCACCCCTATCTTCATTGCAGCATTATTCACAATAGCCAAGTTATGGAACCAACCTAAGTGCCCAGCAACTGATGATTGGATAAAGAAGTTGTGGTATATATATATATATATATACACATATACACACAATGGAATACTACTCAGCCATAAAAAAGGACAAAGTTGTCCCATTCACAACAACATGGATAGACCTTGAGAGTATTATGTTGAGTGAAATAAGCCAGACAGAGAAAGACGAACTCGGTATGACTCCACTTATAGGTGGTAGTTAACGTATGTACAAAGAGAACCGATCGGTGGTTGCCAGGGGAAAGGGGGGTGGGGGGAGGGCACTAGGGGTGAAGTGGTGTAACTACAACATGACTAATAATAATGTACAACTGTAATTTCACAAGGATGTTAACTTTTATAACCTTAATAAAAAAATAAAATAAAAAACAAATTAAAAAAACAATGAGCGCCAATGGATATTTTGAGCAATGGCCGCAAGTATATAGTTGCTTAAGATCACTGTTTGGAAAGATAGCATTGATTTGAATGTATAAATTCTGTAAGTTCTGGCACACTTTTTTCCTACTTTCCTGAATTCTTCCTCTTGTTCCACTCTAATTTGTGAAATATGGGTATACCCTAATGTCTGATTAAAGTAATAATGACAAATAAAAAGGATAAAGTAAACAAAAATAGTACTAATGATAAATTAAAATTAAAATAATGAAAGGTAATAAATTAAAAAGTAAAATAAAAATTATGAAATAATAATGCTTTCTTCCTAAGCATTTTAAGTGTTATAACACTCTGGGATATAAATTGCCAAGTATTATAAACCCTACTCGAAAAATAGAGAGTACACAGTAAAAATGGTTAACTGCTTATTTCCAAGGTCACAAAGCAAAGCAACAGTAAAGTTACATATTCTACGCTACTAACCGCCAAACAACATCCTCTCGCCCCAGTTCTAGAGAAAGACTCTGTGGTGCAGCGGAGAGTACAAAAGCCTCTGAACCAGAAACCTTTCACTTTAATGTCAGCTCTACTGCTACAACATGTCAATTTGGACAAGAGTCACAGTTTCTCAGTTACAAAGCAGAAGAGCCTAAATGCCTGTATCAACCATTTTGAGCATCAAATAAGATAATGAATGTAAAACCACTTTCTAAAACTGTAATTATCTAACAACTGTCATTATCTCTGAGTAATCACTAACTGTTCAAAGTCCACTATGCCCCACTCTCCTCTCTCCCACACAGCATAGTAGTCAGAATCAACAATCCTAGATATTAAGTCTTTCCAGGGGAAACAAATTTCTTTTGAAGAAGCAGCAGTTAAAATAATCAAATAATGTTTTAACTTGAAAAGAGTTAAGAATCACTGTATTACTTTTTTTTTCTCGTTCTAATCTAATCCTCAGTAATCTCAGTCTTATCAACACTTGAATTAACAAGAGAACTGCAACTAAATTTGGTTAAACGTAAGTACTTTTAAAAAACACTGTACAGACTTCCAGACTATGGCTGCGTATCTAAGGAGCCTGGAAGTCGCCACACTCCATCCTCACAAGTAAAAGGCTAAACAGACTGAAAAAATCAAAAACTTTTCTTGAATTCACAGTAGAAAACAGTAAGTTGATAACACTTTTCAGACATTATTCTACATCAGAGTATTTATTATAGAGAATAATCCAAAACATAAAAATTTAGATAATCTGTTAGTATGCTTCAAAGGTTTATGGGATGGATATTTGGACAGGTATAATTATTTTCAATGTATCCTTTTCTATATAGACAGTATTTGAGATTTTTTGAAAAGCAAATATTATTAATGTAATTCAACTCTCAAATGACATCACGCTATGCCTTTATTCCTAATGTGTATGTGAAATCATGTGGCTGATTGTTGCTGCATCAAAGATATGAGAGGTCTTTCTGTAACAGGTGGACTTCATGTGTATCTACTCTTCCATGGAAGATTAACCACACAGTAATGTAAAATGTATGAAGAAGATTTAAATGGAGATGGTGTTCATGGTTGACATAACATTGATGTAAGTCACCATGAAGTAGGTGTTCAGGGCAACATTCTTCTGTATTAAAGTAAGACAAAGAACATTATGAATTTTATAAGTAAACTTATACTAATTGCTCTTTAAGGGAAGAAAGCTGGCAGTGCATCCAAATCCTGATGTATCTTCATAACAGCAATAGTTAGAAGTCAGGAATATTGGTTGCTATGGTTGAAATAAAGAAATTCTAATAGAGATCAGAGAAAACTATAGCTAACTCTTCCCCCAAAAGGCATAAGTTTGTTGTACATCCATGTTTACTAAATAATTAGCCTCAGTCTTGAAAATCATAGAAAGTACAACTCTGATAGCATTACAGCAGAAGAATAAGAATGTTTCTTGGGGGCCGGCCCCATGGCAGAGTGGTTAAGTTCGCACGCTCCGCTTAGGCAGCCCAGGGTTCACTGGTTCAGATTCTAGGCATGGACCTTCGCACCATCATCAAGCCATGCTGTGGTGGCCTCCCACATAGAAGAACTAGAATGACTTGCAACTAGGATATACAACTACGTACTGAGGCTTTGGGGAGAAAAAAAGAGGAAGACTGGCAACAGATGTTAGCTCAGACCTAATCTTCCTAAAAAGAAAAAAGAATGCTTTTTGATTGCTTGTAATCTGTATTTTGATCAGAGAAGAAATAGTGAATTTTGAAATACTTTTAGAATATGTGTGAACTTAACATATTCTAATTAATAAAACTAAATGGGTTATAATGTGTAAAAGAAAATCTCTTCTTGGATCTCTAACACAGGGGAAGACACAAGGGAGGTTCACGGATGACGAGATAATCTATGTGGAAAATCCAAAAGAACTGACGATAAACTCCTGGAACTAATATGAGATTATATTATAGCAAGGTTGCAGGATACAACGATAATATACAAAAGACAACTGCTTTCCTATACAGCAGCACTAAACAAGTGGAATTTGACATTAAAAACACAACACCATTTACATTAACACTTGAAAAAATATTTAGGTATAAAAATCTAACAAAATACATACAAGATCCATATGAGGAAAACTATAAAACTCTGACAAACAAAATCAAACAATTAAATAAATGGAGAGATAGTCCATGCTCATGGATAGGAAGACAATATTGTCAAGCTGTCAGTTCTTCCCAACTTAAAATATGAATTCAATGCAATCCCAACCACAATCCCCGTAAGTTGTTTTGTGGATATTAACAAACCAGTTCTAAAGTTTATAAGGAGAGGCAAAAGACCCAGAATAGCCAACACAATGTTGAAGAACAACAAAAAAGTTGGAAGACTAACACCACTAAACTTCAAGACTCACTACAAGACTCCAATAGTCAAGACAGTGTGGTACTGGTGAAAGAATAGACAAAAAGATCAATGGAACAGAACAGATGGCCCAGAAACAGACCCACATAAATACAGTCAACTGATCTTTGACAAAGGAGCAAAGGCAACACAACAGAGCAAACACAGTTGTCTTAACAAATGGTGCCAGAACAACTGGACATTCACATGCAAAAAAATTAACCTAAATACAGACCTTACACTCTTCACAAAAGTTAACTCAAAATGGATCACAGACCTAAAAGTAAATTGCAAAACTATAAAACTCCTAGAAAATAACATAAGAGAAACCTAGATGACTTGGATTTGATGATGACTTTTTAGATACAACACTAAAGGCATGACCAAGGAAAGAAATAATTGATAAGCTGGAGTTCGTTAAAATTAAAAACTTCTGCTCTGTGAAAGACAATGTCAAGAGAAATGAAAAGATAAGCCACAGACTGGGAGATAATATTTGCAAAAGACACATCTGATAAAGGACTATTAGCCAAAATACATAAAGAACTCTTAAAAGTCAACAATAAGAAACAACTTGACTAAATCATGGGCCAAAGACTTTCACAGACACCTCATCAAAAAAGATATACAGATGGCAAATAAGCATATGAAAAGATGCTCCACATCACATGGCATGAAGAAAATGTAAATTAAAACAACAAAATAACCACTACACACCTATTAGAATGGTCAAAATCTGAAGCACTGACAACAACAAATGCTGATGAGGATGTAGAACAACAGGAACTTTCATTCATTGCTGGTGGGAATGCAAAATGGTACAACCACTCTGGAATACAGTTTGGCGGTTTCCTACAAAACTAAACATACTCTTACCATATGACTCAGCAATCACAGTCCTTGGAATTTATCCAAAGGAGGTGAAAACTTATGTCCACACAAAAACCTACACACAGATGTTTATAGTAGCTTTATTCATAATTGCCAAAACTTAAAAGCAACCAGGAGTCCTTCAGTAGGTGAAAGGATAAACTGTGGTAATCACACAATGCAATACTATTCAGCATTAAAAAGAAACGCACTACCAAGCCATGAAAAGATATGGAGGAAATTTAAGTGCATATTGCTAAGTGAAAGAAGCCAATCTGAAAAGGCTACATACTGTATGATTCCAACTACATGACGTCTGGAAAAGGCAAGACTAGGGAGACAGTAAAAGGATCAGTGGTTGCCAGGGTTGGGGAGGGGATGACTAGGTGGAGCACAAGGGATTTTTAGGGCAGTGAAAACACTCTGTATGATACCATATGGTGGATAAAGGTCATTACGCATTTGTCCAACCCACAGAATGTACAACACAAGTGAACCCTAAAATAAACTACTGACTTTGGGTAATAACGATGTGTCAAGATAGGTTCATCAATTGTAACACATGTACCACTCTGGTGGGGGGTGCGGAAATCTCTGTACCTTCCTCCAGATTTTGCTGTAAATCTAAAACTGTCTTTTAAAAAATTAAGTCTTAAAAAAAAAATACATTCTAGGATTCCATAATAGCTACTTTCAAGACAGGCATATCCATGTTAAATTTCACAGCTGCTAATACAAACGAAAGATTTTAAAAATTATACCACCATTAAAATCATACATTTATATAAAACAAAATTATGCTTATAAACTATACGATAAATTGAAAAAAGTTTTTTAAGAATTTAACATGGATATCCTATAGTTGAAGGTAACAAAATCTCAATTCTTCTATTCTAGCTGACATTTGCCAGAATATTTCACACTGAGATAGCCTAAGCAGATTATTCAAAGGACAGCCATGGATTTTAGGATTTTTAATGTATCAGATGGCATCTATTTAAGAACAACTGTGAGTGACGCTAGATCCCTGGTTCCCAAATGGAAGTTTATGCATATTCTCCAAGAATCAACAGTTCTTTTTAATAATTTATTTTTGTACTTATTTCCACAGTAATCAATTTACATAACTGAAAAATTTACATATTAACATTACATAACAAGGATCCTCTGAAATTACCAAATAACAAAAAAGGCAAACTCAGCATTGCTTTGGGGTTCAACTGTGTTAGGCCCACGTCATGCCGTTTTAATCATAGAGCAAATTAATGATATAAAAGAGGCAAACAATATATAAATAATGCATTCATACCAAATGATAACCAAATATACATTACATTGTACTGAACAAATGAAAGTTTTTAAAAAGAGTTTGCAAATCCTTAAATAGCTTAACCATCCCAGGGCGCCCCCACAGTACAGGTCCATAGCGCACTCTGTAATACTGCTCAAAAGAATCCGTAAACCCACCACCATATTCAACTTTCAAGGACAACTGAGTTTTGGCAAAATATCATCCATGAAGTTACTGTTTCTGATTTAAATTTTATTAATTTAGTAGTTTTGTTATATTTATACATTTATTTTGAATTTATAGTTGTTACATGAGTTTTAATTCTAAGTGGTCTATATCTAATTTTATGTTTGAACATTAAATAACATTTTTAAAAAATAAATTAAGTCAACACAGGCAGTCAGATTTCTATTCCATTTAAAAGGATTCTGTTCATTAGCCAAGTCTTGGAATTACTATGATAGTTTATACCTAAACATGAAAAAAAGGAATATGAAAACAGAGGAATATGCAAATACAGTCCTGTAAACATTAAGATAACAGCCCCAGAAAACATACAGACTGAGGGAGATAAACATATTTTCTGATCTTGGTCCCAAAGAATAAGACTTCATTTAATGAACTAGAAATAATTCATTAATTTATGATACCCATTCTTGTACAAAATTCATAAACAGCTTAACAATTATTTTATTAATAAAAGAGGCAAGAATCTGGTCCTCACTCTATAAAATGAAAATGATAGAAAAGGAAATTCTCAGGATGAATGTTACAATGAAAGAGAGCTGTGTGGTCACTGTTACAAAAAAAAAATGTTGAGCTTTTATTCACAGTAACATATGAGGATCCACCATATACACAAGATATTGTGCTCAAAGCTGAGGAAATTTAAAACACTGATCTATGAGAGAAGATTCACATAAATTACTAAAGTGAATTAAACAAGGTAAATAATAACAAAGAAGTACAGTGAAATAAGGATAACAGGATGGGCAATATGAAGAAAAAGACAGGGTGAAAACAATGTCAATGATGTCAAATGCCTAGACAGATTTTTAACCAAGAAAAAAAGCTAAATTAACAGACTATACAGAGCTGATTCAGAAAATGAAAATAATTCCCACAGATTATCTGCATTGTATATATCTTTCTAATCAGATAAACCATTTCATGACAAGCATTAAGTAAATGTGTAAAATCTGAATCATACCCTCTATCAATCTTCAACTAAAAGTGGCAGGAAATTTCCACATCATTATTACTTTGCATTGATAACCAAAACAGGTCCACTCTGAGGACATGAGTAATTCTTTTCATAAGATAAATACTCTATATTATAAACAATCTAACTGAACAACCATATATATAAATTTGATTGATTTATAAAAAGCTTATTCTGACTTGGCTTCTAAGTCATGAGGTATAACAGTGGAATCAGAACTTATTTCTAAATCTAAATACTTTTTTCTTAACCATCAATTTTACCCCCAACCTATTACCTGGAAGGGCATCTGTGGAGAGAAGCCGTCCTCACCATCTCCCCCAGCAGATCCTCTGCACCTCAAATACGGTGCTAAGAAAAGACATTTTCAAATTTATAGCTGTCTCTCAAATCCTTCAATACAGCAATTCTGGAACCACTTTAGTATGTGATTAACAAACACTATTTTGATACATCTGAGTCTGATGCTATGAAACGCATATTCTCTGGCTTTATCAGGCCAAAGCTTACCCTAAAAAAATACCCCCATGCCAAGGGCTTCAATATTTTAGTCTGAGTTGTGTAAGTTTCACTACATTTATAGCTCTAAATTTACCTTAGAAAAATAATTAAACAAGAAAAAGGCACAAACATGGATGTTCACTGACCAAGTTAACAGCAAAAAAGAAAAAAAAACGAGACTGATTACACAATACATTCATACAGTAAATAGCATTGCTGTGTATTACTGATATGGAAAGATATCTACAAAATAACTAAGTAAAAAAGAGCTCGTTACAAAGCATCTTTAACACAGTCACCCCAATGCCGTGAACGCCTGTGTGTAAATATGAGCACAAGAAAAAAGTCAGAAAAAATAAGCCCCAAAATGTAAACATAAGTTTTCTCAGAATGTTGGGAATATAATTATTTGGGTCTTTAATGATTTTTAATACAGTCTACTTTTTTTTTTACCTTGGGCATGTATTACTTGCATTATCAGAGAAAGTACAGCTATATTATTTTTTAATAACTATTAACACATACGTTAATACAAAAGAACAGAAACTGAAGCATTCTGTCCTAATCAACTAAAGAAATATTTGTAAGACATAAAAGCACCAAAAGAATTTTTTAAAACTTTCTGAAATGTATTTTACATTTGCATGCTTACTGAAACAGTCATTTTGGGCTCAAGGGTTTTTTCTTGGTATTTCTAAGTTCAAAGTGAAGTTTCAAAGGGCTGAGGTTGCTGCACATCTGCCGCCCTATGCATAAGTCAATTCACATACATTTGTTAACGTTTTCTAGGAACCTAATATTACAAGAGCTGATATGCTAAGCTAGAGATTTCTGTGCTCACTATAGCAGCACAGATACTAACCTTGAGATTTTTTTCCTTTAAAGCTGTTTAAATGTTCAATAAATGTTGTTTTGTAGTTCCTAAGCAGCAACGTCTGATAACTAAATATCTGTTACTGTCTTCTTACCTTTGCTATAACTGTATTTAATTATCAACTGTATCACTGTACAGTTCATGCATCAAAGGCAATATGACACTTCAACCAGTTATCTAATATTTCTACTTAAATGGGATTAAGTTACTGGAAAAAAGAGAAAATTATTTAGATAAGGAAAAAAATTATCATAGCCTTATAAAGGAACATCATAATGTATGCTCTGGTAAATACATATAGTCCTATGAGAAAAGATTCTTACCTAGAATAAAGTGACCTCCACGGCAGGTCCATACTATGCAATGATTAATTCTCTCTACCTTGCTATTTCTTTAGTCTCCCTTATGATACTGATTCCTTATCTCTAGATGGAGATGTTCCCAAAGACTCTGTCTTCAAACTACTTCTCTTCTTGCTGCACTTTAACGCCTTAGAAAAAAATCTCATTCCTTGCTTAGCTATCACCTCCAAGCACAGAATTTTGAAATCTATTTACATCTTACCTTACATCTCTCCTGAACCCATACTTCTGTTTACATGGCATCTGACCTTACATATTGTGCCAGATCACTATATTTGTAACTCACCATCTTCCCCAAAACAACTTCCTCCTACTTCTGTCAATAACAGTACCCGATCATCTCAGATACTTTTCAGGTCTATATATCCTACACCTAATCAGTTGCCAAGATACATACCTTCTATCTGTGCCTTATATCCTTTCATTTCTCTCAATTCCTACCGCCTACATTCTACTTCAGGCGGTCATTATCTCTTGCCAGTACTACTATACTAGTTTCCAGGTCAGGTTGTAGTATCTTCCACATGGTCCTGCAGATTCATCCTTCTAAATCAGCTCTGAAGCCCCCATAGGTTCCTCCTACCTACTTAAATATAAACTCCTTTACTTACCATTTACAGCCTTCCTTAATATGGCCTAGAATTTCCCTCCCATTCAATCCTACTTGGACCTTAGGTAACAGCTTAACTAGACTTACAGTTCTCAAAACACAGACCATGGTTTCTTACCTTTGTGTCTTGGCCTATTTTATTCACCGGTTACCAACAGTAACCCATCAACTTCCCCAACAACCCATCCCCGCCTCTTCAAGGAAATCATCCCTGATTGTGATACTCATCATTTCTTACTGAGAATTTCCACAGCATTTTGTTATTAGATTTACAGAACATCCTTTATAATATGTGCATGTTTCACTGACACAAACTCCCCAGCCCCTTAGGGGTAAGTGCTACACTTTCTGTATCTTCACATCACATCACACACAGGAATCACATACTATCTCTTACCATACGGTTCCAGAGAATCACAGAGGCTTCTGCCACCCCATGTGGGCTGGTGTGGGGGAAAAACGTGATATAAGGGAGACTTTTTGGATCTCCAGAAGCTTTGCCACCATCAGGCTACTCATGCCTTACCATGCACCCCTAAGAAAAACATTTTAACTTGCTTCTCAATTTGATGTTCTAGCACTGATATTGGGAACTAAGAAGAATAGGAACCTTACACCCTCTAGAGCAGCTCAAAATTGTAGTATCATTACCACTAGGTTACTACCATTATTTTTTTCTCCTTTTCATTTCTACTAAATAGGACCACAGATTCGGTAGGGATATATGTGTACAGATAATGGGGAGGGGGCAGGAAGACAATGATAATATTTAGGGAGCATGAGCACAGACATGCAGGAGAGAATTCTCCTCTACAGATCACACCCTTGAGATCTACTGTCTGTTTCTTTCTCTTCTCCAGTACTAAATCTCTCACCCAGACCAGTCCAGTCCACTACATTACCTAGAAAATAGGCAATTATTGTTTCCCTGGGTATAAACTATAATCAGATTTGGTAAAGTACAGGTATTCAGTTCTTGTTCAGTTAGCCCATCTAAACTACAAAACAATTTCTTCTAGACCCTCCAAGATTTGAATTCAGTTTCATCAATTCATTTCAACAAACCCTTATTCACTGAATGCATGCTACATGACAAACACTGTACTATTTACTATGCTATCAAAATGAATACACGTTCTCTGCACTCAGTAAGTTTTCAGTCCAATACAGAGAAAGGCAAATAAACAGAAAATGTCAGTGCAAAATGGTCACAGATATGAATGGAATCCAAATAGGAACACTATCTTAGATGGCCATCCAGATGAAGTTTCACAGAATTTTAGTACAGCCAAGCAGGAGTGACAAAAGTTATTCCAGGAAGAGCGCACAGCCTAATAAGGACATAAAGGCATGAAAAAGATTCCTGGGTCCAGAAAACATGTAAGTTCAGGATTATTAACATATCATTAATTCACTATTGCCCCTGCATTAAGACTGAGACATTGCTGGAATTTAAGAGTTGGATAGTAACCATCTTCTTTCTCACAAAATTGCTAAGAAATTAAAATATTACACATGTAATTAACCTAGTAAGGTCATGGCAGAGTCACAGCACCTCACTCAACAATGGGGCTTAGGGGAGAGAAGGATTCTTAGATTACCTATTAAATGAGTTTTCAATTCTGCATTCCAATCAATCTCAACTAAACCAAATTGGAAAGAAAGGCTCCATTACGAAATCTCACTGAAACTAAAATAATAGTTTCTAGAATACATGCCAATCATTATACACAGAAAACTGTAGCAAAAAGATCATGAAAAACATTTGAAATATACTTATGCTTTCAGAATTGTTTAAATATTAATTCCTATGATGTCTAAGAAAGAATATATTCATGCTTTCCTTCCAGACTCCTGGATGGAGAACACAGTCTACAAAAAAAAGACAGTATGGCATTCAAATTAGAATGAGTCACACAAGTCACAGGGAAAAATAACAAAGCATAATTAGATAAACATGGACACTTCACAAGGAAAGAACACAAGACAGAAATGAACATGGGAAAACATTCAGCTACACAAATGATGGAGAAAAAAATGACAAAAACAAAGCACCCTTTTCACCAAATAACTAACAAGAAAAATTATTTTAAAGAATACATCTGCATTGTTTTAAATTTGCTTTGTGGTTATCTTGCTTTGGCAGATGAAGAAAGAGAAGCACATGCCAAGAATGCCAAATACTCTTAAGAAAGCAAAGTAATACTGAACTTGTAAGGATATACTTAGGTTAAAAATGTGCTAGATTCTGATGCTGTTATACTCTCCTAAGTTAAGAATAGGGGACTACCAAAAAATAAGCCCCTAGTTAACAACCACAACAAAAAAACACAAAATGACCTACATATGCAAAAATGAATTAATAAGCAAACCTACTATGCAGTCATTAAAAATGCTAACAAGATCTTGTTAAATTATATTGTCATATGTATTTCACTGTCATATAATACTTCATTATATTTTCATTATTCATGGAAAAATCTATAATTGACTATAAATAAAACGTACAGTAGCACTTAATTATGTAAAAATATGCATAGGACAATAACGGGGAAAAGGGAAAATTTTACATCAGTTAAAATGCTAGGGTAATGAAACAGTAACTTTTAAAAAATTTTTAAATGTGATTATAATATATGTACACTCAGCAAACATAAATCTAAAAGGGTGATAGATGATATTAAAAGCACAGACAACAAAAGAAAAAGTAGATAAAATGGACTTCATTAAAAACTTTTGTGCAAAATATCCTATCAAGACAGTGAAAAGACAACTCACAGAACAGGAGAAAGCATGTGCACATCATGTATCTGATAAGGGATAAACACCCAGAATACATAAAGAACTCCTAGATCTCAACAGCAACAACATAAACCAAGCAATCCAATTAAAAAATGGGTAAAGGACTTGAACAGACATTTCTCCAAAGAAGATATACAAACGGCCAAGAAGCACATGAAAAGATGCTCAACATCGTATCATTAAAAAAATGCAAATCAGGGCCAGGCCCCATGGCCTAGTGGTTAAAGTTTGGCATGCTCCACTTAGGCAGCCTGGGTTCACGGGTTCGATTCCAGGCATGGACCTACTCCACTCGCTAGCCAGGCTGTGGAGGTGTCGCACATACAAAAAGATGGAGGGGGATTGGCACAGATGTTAGCCCAGGGCTAATCTTCCTCAAGCAAAAAAAGGAAAGAGGACTGGCAGCAGATGTCAGCTAAGAGCAAATCTTCCTCAGCAAAAAATAATAATAATAAATATTTTAAAATGCAAATCAAAACCACAAGATACCATTTCATACATATTATAATGGCTACTATTAAAAAAAAAAACAAACAGAAAATACCAAATGTTGGCAAGGATGTGGAGAAATTGGAACTCTTGTGCACTGCTGATGGGAGTGTAAAATGCCACTGGAAAACAATTTGACAGCTCCTCAAAAAGTTACACATAGAATTGCCATAGGATCCAGTGATTCCCAAAAGATTTGAAAATAGAGACTCAAAAAGATACTTGTACACCAGTGTTCATAGCAGTATTATTCACAATATTGAAAAGGTGGGAAACAACCTAAATATCTATCAACAGGTGAAGGGATAAACAAAATGTGGTATATCCATACAATGGAATATAATTCTACCTTAAAAAGAAAGGAAATTCAGATACACGCGACAATATGAACACTGAGACACCATGCTAAGCGCAATGAGGGAGATACGCAAGGCCAATGTTGTGACTCCATTATATAAGCACCTAGAACAGACGTATCCATAGAGACAGAAACTGCACTGGCGGCGTCCACGCGCCAAGAAGAGAGGGCAATGGGAACTTACTGTCTAATGGTGCAGAGTTTCCGTCTGAGAGGATGAAACAGTTCTGGAAACGGATAGGTGATGGCTGCACAACACTGTGAATGTACCTGATGCCACTGACTTGTACATTGAAAAATTGTTAAAATGGTAATTTTATGTTATGTATATTTTATCACAATAAAAACCACTAGACAAAAAAAAGATGATAGAATGATAATCTCTTAAGGGTACAATATATGTATTTTTTAACCATATATCCTTCAGGTTACGATAATGAGATCAACTGACAAAGAACTTCATGAATTCATGGTATATCATTTGTTTATATCAATTTTTTAAATCTGTAAAATTGGATCTTTCCAAGGCATTTTCAGACCACTGGATCAATGCCACCAGAATGTACAATCTATGATGGTCCAGCTCTAAAACCAAACCAAGAATGTTAAGTTATTCTGAGACTATGCTTAAGAGAGAATTTTTCACATACAAAATACAGCCATTCCTAAGGTCATTCACTAGCTACAAGGAAAGAGTGTTTAGTAACACTGAACTCACCAGCACAAACACACCTTCCATATTAACAAGCGACTGATTTCTCGTATTTCTGATAATAAAATCAACATAAACTATTTACTTACCAGTAAAGCTTTAACATTATGATGTCAGCACTGTACTTAGCCACAATGTATCCGGGAAGTACTGAAGGAGATACAGAGGGCTTACTACAAAACAGAACTCAACCCAAAATTGACAAAGAAGCCTTTGCTATCTCAAGAGCTAAGAATCTCACAATTAGATGTAAGATCACACCTTCATAACTATTTATCACTAGCCCTCTTTTCTAAAGATTAAAACTAAAACCTGACGTCTATTCCCACTTAGGAATCACTAGCATCATGCTGTATTTGAGTTGCGTATAAGAAAGTCAGATGGAGATGAGAACCTATTGGGGACAGATGTCTGGACTCAAGAAATTTAGAAGTAAATGGGAATATACAATATTTAAAACCATGGAAATGCAGGGCACTGCCGTATCCCCAACACTGCCTAGAAAACAGCATGCAGTACAAAGTAGGTGCTCAAAAATAACTGAACAATGTGAACAAATGAATGAAGTGTCGAGTATAGAGAGAAGAGATGATGGCTGGGAAGTGTCCTTCAGAACCCAATATTTAGAGATTGGGATAATGAGAAAGTAAAGAATCTGTAAAGGACTAATGAGGCAGGAGGACACCCAAGAGAATGCAATGTCATAGAAACTTTCAAGAAGGAAGAGATGGTCAGTGCAATTGAGAAGACAGGAAAGATGAGGTCAGAAAAGTACCCAGTGAACAGCTATGGCAACGTGAAATTGATGAATTTGAAAAAAGCATTTTTGGTTGAGCAGTAGTGTAAAAATCAGATTAGAATGAACTTTAAGAAGGAAACAAAGAACATATAGATAATTCTTTGAAAAATGTTTGGCCATCTCTAAATCAAAGAAATAGGACCAAAGCTAGAAAAGAACAGTGTTAAAAAAAAAAAAAAAAGGTTTATTTTAAGACGGGAAATATCAGAGCATGTTTACCTGCTGACATAAATGATCCAATGGGACAGGAAAGGCTGAAGAAGTAAGAGAGCTCAGGCAAAGGAACAAAACATTTGACAAGAAGAGAGGTCAAGTGGAGTAACTGGTCTTTGACATGAGGAGGAGAGTTCCTTTGATAGAAAAAGGAAAAAGGAGAGGGGCTGGCCCCGTGGTGTAGTGGTTAAGTTCACATGTTCCACTTCGGCGGCCCAGAGTTCGCTGGTTTGGATCACGGGCATGGACTATACACTGCTCATCAAGCCATGCTATGGTGGCATCCCACATACAAAATATAGGAAGATTGGCACAGATGTTAGCTCAGTGGCCATCCTCCTCTGGCAAAAAGAGGAAGATTGGCAACAGATGTTAGCTCAGGGCCAATCTTCCTCACCAAAAAAAAAAGAGAGAAAAAAGGAGAAAGTTGCCACAGATATAAGGTTTACAGATTTTAAGGCGGAAAGATGAAGGAGATTTAGTCTAGTGGCTTTTATCTCTGAAGTTACAGGACACAGTAATCATATGAGAATGAAAAGGGCAGAGAGGTTTGGGGATGTAAGAAGAGAGGATGAAGATATGACACAGTTATCTCAAGAGAGTGAAAAACATGGAAGATTAAGTAAGATCACGTATGCCAAAAATGTAGCACAAAACTCGACCCAATGAAAGAGTTCAATAAATGATAATAGCACCTTTTATGTTATCTGATGTCTACATGAAGAAAGCCTTCTAAACATAAAGCCATGGTCAAGAACAATTATGCTCTCCAAAAGTGGTAGAAAATTTTTAAAATTATAGTATTAAGCTTCAAAATGTAAACAAACAAACCAAAAAACTTTACTCTCAATAGAGTAAAAGACATAAATTTAAGGCAAAAAATTTAAAACTTCGACTCTAAACGGCAATTACATTGAAAAGATAAGCTACAAACTGGGAGAAAATATTTACAAAACACATATTTGACAAAGTACTGGCATCCAAAATATACAAAGAACTCAAATTCAGCAATAAGAAAACAAGCAAATTTAAAACTTGGCAAAAGATCTGAACAGATATGTGACCAAAGAAGATATACAGATGGCAACTAAGCATATGAAAAGATTCAACATCATATGTTGTGAGGGAAATGCAAATTAAAACAGTGAGATACCACTACACACCTATTAAAGTATCAAATACCAACACCAAATGCTGGAGAGGATGTGGAACGAGAACTCTCACTCACGGATGGTGGGAATGCACAGTGGTACAGACACCCTTGGAAGACAGTTTGGAAGTTTTTTACAAAACGAAATATACTCTTACCACATGATGTGGTAACCGTGCTCTCTCATTTTTACTCAAATGAGTTGAAAACTTATGATTATACAAAAACCTGCACAGGGATAGTTAAAGTAGCTGTATTCATAATTGCCAAAACTTAGAAGCAACAAAAATGTCCTTCAATAGGTAAATGGATAAACAAATTGTGATATATTCAGATAACGGGATATTATTCAGCAATAAAAAGAAGTCAGCTATTAAACCATGAAGAGACATGGAGGAAACTTGAATGCACATTGCTAAGTGAAAGAAGCCCATCTGAAGAGGCTACATACTGTATGAGTCTAACTACATGACATTCTGGAAAAGACAAAATTGCTGAGACAGTAAAAATATCTGGTTGCTAGGTGCTTGTGAAGAGAGAGGGATGAACAGGCAGAGCACAGGAGATTTTCAGAGCAGTGAAACTATTCTGTATGATACTGTAATGGTAATGGTGAAAACATGGCATTATACATTTGTCAAAACCCATAGAATGTGTAACACCAAGAGTGAACCCTAATGTAAACTATGGACTTTAGTTAATTATTACGCGTGATGAGCTAATACCAATAATGTATCACACTAATGCAAGACGTTAATAAAAGTGGCAACAGTTGAGGAGGGGACAGGTATTAGAGGTATGGGAACTCGCTGTATCTTCAGTTTTCTGTAAACCTAAAACTGGTCTAAAAAATAAAGTCTATTTTAAAAAAAAAATCCTACAATCAATAGAGTT